CTGTTCAGAAGCCACTGAATGGGGTAGTGAGACCAGTATTCGAAGAAGAGGAGGCTTGCATGTGATAAACAGAGTTGCGAGTCTAGAAGCCAAGATTGATGCCAAACTGGATTCTAAGTTTGATGCACTTGAACGAAAACTGGCCAAGATTGCTCTGGGTAGACAAAAGGAGGTTGCTTCATGTGAATTTTGCGAAGGTCCTCATCATAGGGATATGTGTCCACTGGGAGTTGCTCAGTTGGAAGATTTCCAATATATCAATAATCCGCGAAGTCAAGGCCAGGGTGGTATGTATTCAAATACATACAACCCTCAATGGAGACATCACCCCAATATATCATGGTCAAACAATAATCCAGCTGGTGTTCGAAACATCCCACCTCCTGGTTTTCAACAGCAGCAACCTCAACCAGAGAAGAAGCCCCAGCTGGAGGAGTTGATTTTGGCTCATATGCAGAAAACAGACAATAATTTCAAGGCTCTTGATTAATTTGTCACTCAACAGCTAGCCATCAACAATAATATGCAATCATTTATGCTAGCTATGGAGAGGCAAATAGGCCAGATGGCTCAAACTTTGGCAGATATTCAAGGTAGGATTCCTGGGACTTTACCGGCAAATACTGAGAGAAATCCAAAGGATGTCATGGTTGTAGCAGTCACATTGAGGAGTGGGAAGGAATTGGAGGATCCAAAGAGCAAGAAAAATCCAGTAGAAAACGAGGGCAAAGCAGCTGCAGAGGAAGAAAGCGCAAAAGCTGAAAAATCTGACTTGCACAGGCAAACAGCATGCAATCTGCCTGTGCATGATCATTCTGCTTGTGCAACTCCAAAAGTGGAAAAACTCAAGAATGAAGAGGTAAAGCCTTATGAACCTCCCGCACCATTCCCTCAAAGGTTAATGAAGCCTATGGAAGACCCAAACTGCAAGAAATTTGTGAATCTCTTCAAGCAACTTCAGATCAATATACCGTTGGCGGAGGCACTTGAACAGATGCCTACATATGCTAAATTTTTAAAGGAGTTGCTGACTAAGAAGCGCAAATGGGATGATGTGGAGAAGGTAACTCTTACTTCTGAATGTAGTGTCGTGATTCAGAATAGATTACCAGAAAAGAGGGATGATCCGGGATGCTTCACCATTCCATGTGTCATTGGAGGTAGAGAGTTCAATAAATCACTCTATGATCTAGGAGCAGGCATTAATTTGATGCCATACTCAGTCTACAAGAAATTGGGATTGGGAGATGTTCTTAAGCCTACTCGGATCACTCTCTAATTGGCCGATCGATCAGTGAAAATTCCAAAGGGAGTGGTGGAGAATGTATTGGTGAAGGTGGGGAAATTTATTCTCCCAACAAATTTTGTAATTCTGGAGATGGAAGATGATCGGGGAGTGCCTCTCATTCTTGGTAGACCTTTTCTAGCAACTGGCGATGCACTCATTGATGTCGGGAGAGGCAAGTTGACATTCCGAGTAGGTAAGGAGGAGGAAATTTTTAATGTCTTTCAAGTTGACCATAATCACGATGAATTTGATGAATTTAAAAGTGGAGCTCGAGAAAGGACTCTTCCCGTGATAGTGGACCACCCAAAGAACTATCACATGTCCTAGCAGCTCAAAGTCTGAAATCAAAGCAAGGGCAGAAATCCTTGCCTGGTCACCTAAAGTATAGATATTTGGGTAAGGATTTCAATCTTATTGTTATTATTCCTTCTTCAGTGACATTGAAACAGGAAGATTACTTGCTTGAGGTGCTGCAGTACCACCTACGCCTCACTAAGGGGTCCAACATGCAAGCTAAGAAGGTCATACCCAATTTTCGCACACCTGGCTCTACTGAGGTGACTCATATGTTAGATGGAGGCTATGCGTTCTATCATTTATCGGGAGGGTATTCTGAATACCTTTCCATACCCATTGGTTGAAAGCTCCATGAATGTCAGGCTTAGGACGTTAAACAAGCGCTCCTTGGGAGGCAACCCAAGGTGAGTTTTCTTTTCTTTATTTTTTCTTTTTTGTTGTGTCAAACCCGTGCATGTTTAGATTAGGAGTTGAACATTAGGGACAATGTTCCATCCTGAGTGTGGGGTGGTGAGTCTTAGTGTTGTTTGTCCTTGTTGCATGTGGGGAAAAAAACCAAAAAAAAATCTGTCATTTGGCTATGCACAGCCAAACTGCATGCAGTCTACCTGTGCAGGTGCAGTCTGCCTGTGCTAACCTAATGGCTAAAAAACACCTAAAAATCAGAAAATTAAAAACAAAACCTTGTACTCTTAGGGTAACATGATGTAAATGACCGTGATGCCTTGAAAATGAGTTGTGCTTGAATGAAATCATCAAAATCACCCGGCTAGTGTTGAATTGCAAAGTTCTTCACAATGAACTTGATTTTTTGACTGACTTGATATGCTTTGAATGAGCAAAATCTTTTAGCAAAACTCTCTTTTGTGAGGATAGTGTAATGACTTATGGTGAAGTGGTTAGGTGGAGAACATTGACCATTCGACATGTTTGGATACCGTGCTTACTTGCATCATTTGTGAGCTTTTGATTTTGCAATGAGTCTCTATGTTTTGAATGTTTTAGATGGGGTGAATTGTATCTTTATAAAAGAAAACACTACTTGACAAGTAAAATATAAGAAAGTCGCCATAACAATTAAAGTGTGGGTAAAATGCCAAAATCGTGTGAGGCAATCACTCATTGCACAGGGGGGTTAGGAAAGGTTCAACCGAGCATCAGTTCTCGACCGTACGATGTTGCTTATCAAGTACGATCCCCCGTTGAGTGAAGTGTCGTTTGAGGATGTGCAGTGACCCTCCACACGGACCAAGGACAAGGAGTTGAAAGAAGCCCTTATGCGAGTGCTAAGAAGCATAAATTGCTCTTGCTCTGTCACCGTTAGTAAGAAACAAATCCCACTTGTACTAAATATGACCACTCGGCAAGCAAAATCAGAAAGAGAGAAAGCATCTCCCTGTCAGAAAGGTAGTGATGTGCTTAAAGTAAAAAAAAAACAAGTTTGCGAAAGGCTTCCCCCATTTGTTTTTGAGACTCATGCTTAGTAAATTGCTCATGATTGGTGTGAGTAAGCCATTTTGTCCTCACGGGATATGCAACTCACTGATGTGGCCAGACTCTCCTAATAACTGTTGCACCATAAGTTGTTAACCACCCACTTCTGACGACCTGAATTGAGTGCTTGCTAATTGAGTTTTTGGTGGATTTGAGTCAGTCAATGATAAAGGGTTGCAAGACCTTGAGTGTGGGGTGAAAGGTATAATTATTAAAGCACAACTCATCCTTTGAGAAAGAAACTACTGATTACAACAAGAGTACAAGGAATATTGTGTCTTGTGTGTCGTGGATCTTATGTCTTGAGCAGGGTTGTGTCTTCGTGGTCTATAATGTGTTTTCTCCAATTATTGTTCTCGTGTCTGAATTGGTGCTTAGGGACAAGCAAGTATTGAGTGTGGGGTTGTGATAATTGTCGAAAACATATTGATTTTGCGTGCTTAATGTGATTATTTCATGATATGTTTGAGACATATAATGCTTGTTCGAAGCCCAATTGACTATGGAATGGTTGCAAAACCATTACCATCAAGTGCCAAATATTTTATATATTTCAGGTAAATTAAACGAGAAATTCACATTGTTGGATGGTATAATTTAGGTGAACCGGATGGGTATTATGGATTCTTTGATAACAAAGCTTAATTAATTGGGCTTATGGGAAAGTTTTGGTGGGTGTCTGGGCTGAGGACATACGGAATTGAGTTGGGGATTTATTGGAGAGGCCCATCTTCTTTGTCTGGTTTGGGGGGAGGAGACTTGAATTGGACACGGAATTAAGAGGAGAAAGTTGGACCGGAGAAAAAGGGAGGAAGGAAACGAAATTGGCGGGGAGGGTAATTCTTTGGAGCACGGCAACTCGGGAATAAGAGGAAGGGCAGCCGCTGGGGACACGAAATTCTTTTGGGACGGAATTGGAGAACGAGCAGCGAAGCGCAACGCGACTTTCGGGCAGCGATTGGAGAGAAAAATCAGAATCTGTGATTTATTTCGTATTAATATTTTCTCTCCTTCTCGTTACTAGTTTTATGATGATTAAGAACATGATTATATCTTTTAATTTCATCATGAACTAAATCCCAATTTCTGGGGAAAACACCATAGGATGTAGCTATTTCTTGACTTGATGGATTGATTCGTATTTCTTTTCTTCCAATCTCTATTGCATGAAATTACTTAATGCTTTGTGTTGACAGGCCACCAATACATTGATTTGTTGTTAATTAGGTTATTAGCGACAGTGAAACCCCTAATGACTGAACATATTTCATGTGACATAGTAATTTATCAAAGCGACAGTGGATTAAGTAAGGTGCTATGCGGTCTTAAATAGGATATCGATCTGCAGGCTAGATAATTAAGTCATTGAGCTACGACAGTAGGATTTGATTTAATTGTTTAGTACGTAGTAATTCCCGACTGGGATAGCTAGCACATTCGTGATATCCTGGCTGTAGAGAGTTGGATTAAATTGATTAGAATATGTGAATTAATCTGGATAGGATAGGTAGTGAATCCCAGTGTTTCTCCCAGAGCTTTCTCCCATCGAATTTCTCCCAACAAGTTTACTTTGCTTAATTAGTTTAATTATTTTGCTATTAGTTAATAATCTCATCAACCAAACAATTTTTCACTTATGATTTGCTCCACAGAATTGATAAATTATAAGGTTGTACCAGTTCCTGAGAGACGATACCCGAACTTTCCGGTTTTACTACGAGATAGGAATTGAAGCAATACGCTTTTGCCCGACCAAATATTAACGATTCTTCAAAAGTTTATTTCGATTTCTAATAACATCAACCGTCAGTTAAAATAAAAGTGTTCTTCACTACCAATTAACATATGCATTTTCAGATATTCCAAAACAAAACGCAGACCAATTATATAGTAACTCATAAACTACACATATAACTCCACTCCTACCCCTACCTTAGAACTTCAGAGCCACGTAGGTGAGTTTGGAAATGTAATTTTCGCTAACACCAGTCACCACCGTCCATTCTCACCATCGAATACTTCTCCAGAAGAATATATATATATATATAATCGGATTAAAGATTAGTTTGGTGAATAATCACATTCCATAGGCCATTAGAAGCCAATCTGTCGCATGAAGTACCAATCTCATAATTAACTACGATTATTGTTGTATCGAGGAATCATAACATAATTAGTTAATTACCATTGCCAATTCACAGTTAAATCACAATTCCTTGTGGCGTTCGCTTTCCTAAACACCCAGTCAGTACCGTCATTCCCCTCTTCAAGAAATGACCATTGACACAAATTCCCTCCTTTTTTATACTCCGCCGCCTCCATTTTCACTGCTTCATTTGCTGTTTTCCCGTCCTCTGTTTTACCCTCTAAACAAATCCCCACCAGAGAAGAAAGAAAGAAAGAAAGAAATCAGAAACCCTCTGCCATGAATCTAGCCCAGCTGCTGCGTGTATCAATCTCAATCTTTCTGGCTTCACTGCTTCTTTCCTTTTCTTCACCTCTCGCTGACTCCGCTCAATCCGATATTAATGACTTCTACCCGGAGGAGCGGGACGCGCTGCTGCAAATCAGGGACTCCCTACCGTCGACGGCCGATCTCCACGCGCTGTGGACGGGTCCGCCATGTCGCCGGAGCTCCAGCCGTTGGCGAGGCGTCGCCTGTGAGGACGGCCACGTGGTCCACCTGGTGCTTCAGGGGATCAACCTGACGGGCAACCTTCCGACCCAATTCCTGCAGAACATAACCTTTATGACCAAAGTGAGCTTCGTCAACAATTCCCTCCGTGGGCCGCTCCCCAATTTGACCGGTCTCGTCAGGTTGGAGCAAGTCTCTCTGTCCTTCAACTGGTTCACCGGTTCGATCCCTCCGGAGTACGCTGCCCTGCCCAATTTGAAGATCCTGGAGCTGGAGGGAAATTCTCTACAGGGGAGGATTCCGGGGTTTAATCAATCCGGATTGATCAGATTCAACGCGTCGCACAATCTGCTCGGTGGTCGGATTCCTCGTACAATGGCTCTGGAGAGGTTTCCCCGCGGCTCATTCGACCACAACTCGCAAGACCTCTGTGGCCCGCAGTTGGACCCCTGCCCTGTTTTGCCGCCGCCGACTCCGACTCCGACTCCGACTCCGTGGCGGAAAAGGGAAATTGGAGTTAAGCTATGGGTGAGTGCGGTGATTGCACTAGGAGGTGTAACAATGTCGCTCAGTATCATCATGCTCTGCCTGCTCTATCGCCGAAAACAGGGGAAGGGGAACCAAACTCCGCAAAGTAATAAATAAACTTACTTTTTTCATTCCTTAACAATTGAATTTGTTGTCAAGTTGGAGAGTAATTTACATTTTTAAATTCAACTGCTCCCCAACCCAATAGGCGGAAGCTACATAGACTGGTCAGTGAAGATGAAGGGTTACTCACACTCAGGGAGCAGGACGAACCCAGCAGAGAGAACAATGGAATTGGACTTGTTCGTGAAAGACATTCCTTCTTTGGGCCTGGAAGAGTTGCTGAGAGCCTCTGCGGAAATCCTGGGGAAGGGTAAAAACAGTATCACATACAAGGCGATCTTAGAATCGGGAGCCGTTGTGGTGGTTAAGCGCCTCCAAAACTTAAACTTGGACGTCTCATCATCTCAGAAAGATTTCTTCCAGCAGATGCAGCTCCTCGGAAACCTAAAGCACCACAACCTGGCACAGATCGTCTCCTTCTACTACTCCCCAGATCAAAAGCTCATCATCTACGACTACGTCCATGGCTACAACCTCTTCAAATTGTTACATGGTCAGTTTCTCCTTTCCAGTCCACTACTCTTTAATCTGGTCGTCACTAGCGGATTGGTTAGATACTCTGTTTTTGGCATTCGTAGATAACAGAGGAATTGGAAGGATTACATTGGATTGGACAGCGAGGGTATCGATAATCAAAGACGTAGCACATGGTTTGGCATTTCTCCATGCTGCCTTGCCTTCCCACGGGGCGCCTCACGGCAACCTGAAATCATCCAATGTCCTTGTCCGCCGGGAAGGTCTAAACTACTGCTGCAAGCTCACCGACTACGGCCTGCTCCCGCTTCTTCAGTCTCGGAAATTTCCCGAAAGCCTGGCCGTCTGGAGGTCGCCGGAGTATTGTCAGGGAAAGCCACTGACGCACAAGGCTGACGTGTACTGCTTGGGAATTCTGCTCCTGGAAGTCATCACCGGGAAGATCCCCGACGACAGGCCGCTGACTGGGGACGATGAGGCATCGTCGATGGATGACCAATCCGAGTGGGTTAGGTCGACGGTGAACAGTGATTGGTTGACGGAGATATTGGATATAGAGATTATGCAGTCGAGAGAAGGGCACAGCGAGATGTTTCGGTTTATTGACTTGGCGCTGGAGTGTACTAGTGGGCTGGCTGAGAAGAGGCCAAAGATGAGCCAAGTGTTGAGAAGGATTGAGGAGATTGGGTAGAGAAAGAGACATGTGTTTGGAGTGGAGGGAATTAAAGGCACTTTGTAGAGATTGCAAAATTGAATCGATTTTGTTTCTTCTTATTTGTGGGATGTGGTCGGGGCTTCATTATTTGTGGGAGAAAGGGGGAAGAAAAGGTAGAAATCCTATGTTGCCTAGCTAGTTTAGTAGTGATACTTATGTGAAGAAAGAAGCTGGTAATGGTTCTTTTTTTTTTTTTAATTCCTTTTTACTAAGCAGCTAGATTTGGCAATTGTAACTTTTTGTTTTGTGAATGTACGGTACAATCAATTTTTTTATTCTATCGGAGTCTAAATCGATAAATGATTTTTAGCAATATTAAAAGATTAAAATTCTGGTACAGTTTTACAATATTTGGACGTAACCACACACATCTTTTGAGGGTAAATGATAAGGTTGGTCACTAGGATTACTAAAAATGTTTATGTTTGATCACTAAAAATATTTAATTTCATTCATGGTCACTAGATTTAGTGAAACATGTCATGTTTAGTCACTCTCCCTCCAACTCTGTTAATTTTGTCTGACGAGGATGTCAACTCTCAAATTTGACCATTAAACTATCATTAAAAATAAAAAGTATTCTTTTTAATTCCATGGAATTTCCCCATTGAGCAGTTTGGGTTGCCGAGGTTGGAAGGTGTTTCTTTGGAGAACATATTGTCTCCAGGTGCTCGAGCTTCGTTCGGATCGCTCGACCGGTGAAATCCCAGGTGAGATCTCTAGTTTATCCCGGCTAAACGTTCTCGATTTGTGGCAGAATGGTTTGACAGGGGAGATCGAGAAATTGAAGGAAATGGCATCCTCCGAAGGTGAAAGAAGTTGAGGGAAACGACCGCCAGTAAGAAAAGCATCTCAGCTCGTGGAAGCTCTGACAGAGGCAGAGGAGGAGGAAGCAATGGCCCCAATAATGTGTCAAGTTGTTGGGAGAGGTTCAATCGTGGATCATATACCACAACACTAACACAATGGAGGCGGAGGAGGGCCTAAGTTGGTAATGTTCAAGAACAAGATAACTTACGCCCAAACCCTCGAACCCAAGAGGAATTTACACAAGGAGAATGTCCTAAGTAGGAATTGATTTCAGCTACAAACTGCTCCATTCCGCAGCTCCTAGTGCTCTCCCTGTTTCGGAACGAGCTCTCCGGTCAATCCCATCGTCTATTTTCTGCAATGTTTGATAGGCACCGAAAATTTTTCAGCGGAGGGGCTTCATTTGTGGATTTAGGGTTTAATGCGCTCACGGGGATAGCTCAGCCACCTGATGTCAGCGGAGGAGAAGGAGGAGAGATGATGTCAGCCTGAACCCGAGCCCTGCCGCCGGAAGGTGAACTCGGGACACCCTGAAGCTGTGGGTGTGTGATCACGTGCTAAACCTGGTCAACGTCATGGTGGGTGCGTCGCCGGTGAAGCCTTGATGCAGCCTCCTTGATGGGCTGGTGGATCTGGAGGCGGCGTTTTGCCTCTGCACGACGATTAACACCAACATTTTGGGGATCAACCTTAACATCCCAATCTCCCTCAGCTTGCTCCTCAATTCTGTGACAACTCTATCCACCCAGGCTTCTAGTTTTGATGATCTGTCGTTTCGGGATGCCATTGTTAAAGATAGCTTGCTACTATGCTTGAACCTCGCATGGAACTGGCTACAGATCCATGTGGCGGAGAAGGAACGACGGAGGCGGCGGAGGTGGGAGAGGCGGAGCTGATAATTAGTGAGGTGTAGGGAATTAAAATGAGTAATTTTTTTTATGGTAGTGATAATGATGTGAATTTTTTTAATTTTAAATTATCACATCATTTATTTAATGGTCAACTATGAGAGTTGACTGCTACGTCAGACAAAGTTAACGGAGTTGGACGGAGAGTGACTAAACATGACATGTTTTACTAAATCTAGTGACCATGAATGGAAATAAATATTTTTAGTGACCAAACATGAACATTTTTAGTAATACCAGTGACCAATCTTGTCATTTACCCACATTTTATTTGGTATATAAAAGTCACAATTTTTGTTATGTTCATTAACTGTCTTTTGATAATTAACCATAACTTAAGAGAGGAATGATCCATTAGAGTGGGTCTCACCCAATTTCCTCCCTCTTTTCCTTTATCCTACTATATTGGCCTCTCCCTCATTTTCCTCTCTCTTGCCATTGGGGAAAAAACAAGAGAAAAAAGAAAACAAGAAGTTATGTGATCCACAACCTTTTCAATTATTACCTTTCTAAATATGTGTATGGTTTGTTGTTATGGTGCTCAAATCTATATATTTGTTCATGTTTAGTTACGACATTAGTCATCTCACTCGAACTCGAACTCAACTAGGAAAATGGCGGAGAAATCTTCTAATATAGGTTATCAATCATTAAGCATAATTTTTGTTGTTGTACTGAAATCGACCCTTTGTTTGTATTTGATTTTGCATTCTTAATCACCTCTTTCTTGCTCACCTTAAAATGGGGACTGTGGCCTCGAAACCAAAGGAATCAGATTTTACATTCTATCGTCTTTTTTCTCTTTATTTTTTCCTCCATTTCAAATGGAGAAACTTCGTAAATACTCTAAGTAACAGTTGCGGAGTTCCAAATATGTAGATTGATGTCCTCTAATTTATAGCTTCATTAGCCAACGACTGCATATTACTATAAACCTCTTCCACAACATCTTACTAATTTTTCTTGCATTTATTGGAGTTATGTCATACGAGTTATATGTTACTAATTCTTTAATGACGACACATTTATAAGCAAGCACGCATATCCGGTACATCTTTACATGGAAGAAGAATTGCAGAGATAAATATACATCACTTATCACATTTTATTCATTCATAATACAATGTTATGTTTGGACCAAAATTATTAGACCCGACTGTTGATAATAATAATAATAATAATAATAATAATAATTGCACCCAGATTCGAATTACTTTGGGTCATCTCCACGGTATGAAAGAAATGTGTAGTGGCACAAGTGATCTTAGTGATGTATTTTACATCCAGATGGGCTATAATTGGAGATATCATTATTTCTGGTACAGAAGTTCCTATAAAAATGGGAAATGCCCTACCTTTAAGTGCGGCTTGAACTATTGATTTACATAATTGAAAGTAACCAATTAGGTTTACGACGAAACCTAGAAATCGATCACCTGTCCAATTTGAGTAACTCTACAGAATAGGTCTCAACAGGTATGTAAATCTAGAGAGAGTTTTAGATAGAAACTGAGAGTATCATGTGTAGAGGATAAGGAATTGAAGTTAAGATCCTTTAACTGGGAGGCTTAACAATCCTTATACAAGACAAGAGTTTATATATTTGACTTTGCATTTTGCTATGAGTTTAGACCAGGAGGTGTTGCCTGCAATTTTTTTCATAATGTGCATTTTGTGTTGTGACTTGTGATTATCATTATTCACATCTAGGCACCTTCTTTTACTTCTCACCTTGAATTTTTTTTTCCTCTTTCAAATCAATGTATCTACAAAATATATGATGGCAAAACATGGGTTGGATTTTCAGCATTTTGAAAATAGGGACATGAGAGTGATTTTCAGATGGGCCTTATTGTCATTTCACAAGGAGTTAATGATGTTGTGCGTTCTATTTTTGAGTCTTTACCCGCCTGTCATATATGGGCCACCGAAGGGGCCAATAACAACAAAAGTTGGGCCTTCTGTGCGTTCTTCCCGCTACCAATAACAACAGAAGTTAAGCTATGTGTTTCATCCATACCCGTATCTACACAAGACTTGAGAAGAAAACTAAAATCATGTCCACATCCGATGTTTCGGGTATCCATGGATAATATTTCATCTTTATGACTCTAACAAACATGTTAACATTCACACGTATAGTGACATTGCATAAGTGAAAAAGTATGACAATAAATCACTAAAATGAATACAGGGAGAAATCCCTTTCCCCATATCAGCTTGTGCCAATCCACCGTTGGCCATTTCATTCTAATAGAATCCCATAATAGGCCAACTGAATACAGTTGCATAGGAGAGCCAGCCCATCATAATGAACTCCCCTGACCTGAGAAGTGCCTTTGAACCTCTGATCGAATTTTAAGAATGCGTCTCCAAGTCCAAGAGCTACTAGAAGTGGACCTTATTGTCCATATACTACCTGTCTTAATCCGATATTGTGAGATCCAGGCCATCCAAATAGTCGCACTCTGCATGAGCAGTAGCCAAATCATCCTGGTAGTACAAGCTTGATTCCATGAAAACATTTCCTTAAGCCCCACTCCACCTTCTTTTCGAGGTCTTGCCAGTCTTTCCCAACTAACTTTAGCTTTCCCCTCATCTCCACCATGCCATAAGAAGTTGGAACATACCTTATGTACCTGCTTAAGCACTTTTTTGGGAAGGAAAAATACTTGCATCCAGTATTATAGCACTCCCATAAAGACAGACGATATGAGTTGTAAACGACCAGCATAACTAAGCTTTTTGACTCTCCAGCTTTTAATTTTCTGAGTAATTTTATCAACTAGCCTGGCACAATCAGCAGAGGAGAGCTTACCCGAGATGAGAGGGAGTCCCAAATAACGGACTGGAAGTTTACCCTCTTGCAAACCAGAAACCTCCAAAGCTTGATTCTTGAAATCAACCGAACACCCCCCAAAATACACTTCACACTTACGAGGGTTGCATTGAAGACCAGACAACTCATAAAATTCATGGAGAAGGTTTTGTACACTAGCAATAGCCCTTCCAGATCCCTCAGTAAAAATTAAGAGATCATCAGCGAAGCAAAGGTGTGTTAGCTGTACTCTCTTACACTGTGGGTGGTAGGGAATGAGACCAGAAAGAGCCGCAACATTAAGGATAACAGTCAAACCCTCCATGGCTATGGTAAATAGATAAGGAGATAAAGGGAAGGCATAGAGAGTCTCTTTCATCTTCAGACAACCGCTTCTTAATTAAACTATCAAGTTTCTCTCTATTCGGATGCACTTGTGAATCAACCTTGCCAAATGTAAAATATTACATAGTGACTAATTTGCAACTTTTTAGGCAACAGTAATTGCTCTTTAGCTTTATATATATTCATAATAATATAATAATAATAACTTTCACAGCCGATTTCTTAGAGGTCCTTTGCTTGTAGGATTCTGAAAAACCAAGGATTTGTGTAAAACCCTGAATTTTATCATAGAAGGATTATGTGGAATTTTGTCATTTTGGATTTGTGTTGGATTTGCAAAAGTACTTGTTTACTTCATGGATTTTGTATTGGATTTATGTCCTTGTAATTGATTAGTTAAAGGTTGAATTTACAATTTTATCCTTATTAACTACCATCTCCAAGAGAAGAATAAAAGCCCCTGCCCTCCGCCATTACCTTCTCCATCTCCTTCCAAGTTTATTTTACAGCTTAATCCGCCAACACCACTTGTTCCTTGTGGCTAGCTAACTAAATTTGTATGGACTAAATAAAAAATTGCAGCACCTTACACAAACTTGCAGCAACTTACACAAACTTGCAGCAGCTACTAAGCAACCTCAAACGTGTTCAAAACTTATAATGATGACAACTTTCAGCAGGTAACGCAAATTTGCAGCTGCTGCTGATAGAAATTTGTAACTTACAATAACGACAACAGAATTTTGTAGCAGCTACTTCATAACAAGAACATGTCCAAAGTTGCAGCAACTACTTCACTCGAGAATGGGAGACGGAGGAAGCTTCATACGGTACACAAACGGGAATGTGATGGAGGCTGCTTGTCAAACCCTACAAATAATAATGAGGACGACATCGGTATATTGGAAATATATAAGGTTACTTTTGTCATTTGCTTTCATGGATTATGGCTCTTCCCAAAATTCCACCTAAAGAGGTAGAATTTTATAATCCGTGGACCCCACGGATTTTGATCTCACTATAATCCCTTATGCATGGGTCCCACAAGAACTAATCCAACACAATTTTTGCAACAAACATGGACTTTGTCCATAATCCCATAAGTGTGGTTTTTTAGACCAAAATCCGTGATCAAAATCCCAATAGCAAACGACCTCTTAGTTTAATTTGCTTTGTATCTTTTACCATGCATTGCAACAGTATTTGAATTGGCTTGAGTTTCACTTTATTGGGTATGGATGTCAACTTGCATTGGCAATTTTGGGAGATGATTAATCATAAGCAACATTTTCAAGGCCTAGCATCCAATACTGGGGGAAGAATTCGTCTCCCGCATGAGAGATGCCTTCGGGAACACCAAGTGGTATAACGTGGTTTGAATCTAAGACCTCACATATCTCAAGTCCGAAAGACCACAATCCCGATCAACTCGACTATGTTACCTTGGCCTTCTTATTCTTATTATATTGTTAACATGGTTATTTACATAAATTTTTGGTAAACTTTCTCGGCCAAGGGCCGAGCCCAGTGCTAGTGTGGTGACTTAGTAAAAAATTCAAGTAAAACGTATTTGTAATATTTTATGATGTAAATAAACAAATAATGTTAAGAGGGTAGGAGAATTACAGAGATAAATATACACTTGTGCATTTATCACATTTTATTTTATTCGAACTAGAACAATGTGTTTCTACCAAGTTTAATAAATTATACACTAGGCAAATATGTGAAGTGGCAGAAGTGATCCAAATTATTTACACTATAGTCTATAAGTAGGTCGAAAGTCCGTGAGAACCCCGGGATGTTCAGTTCTTATGTTTTTTTATTGTATTGTAAATATGAAACCAATGTTCAGTTCTTATGTTATGTTATTAAGATTGTATTTTTGTAAATATGAAAGAATGTGTTAAAAATAGAAAGTCACACAATACAATTTTCAATAACTTGTGTGTTCAAGAAAGTGTGTTTCAACCACATATAAGATCAAGTTGAAACTATTGAGTCAAACTCAAATTATAATACTACTACTAAGCTATGAGGCTATCAGAGTAAATTGGGGTCGATGGTCAAACGTCTCGTATTTGAAATAGGACTTTGTGCAAAAACAAAATATGTATTTGAATAGTTGGAGAACTTATAAAGGTTTTAAATCGATAAAGACTCTCAAAATGAAAAATGCCTCCAGAAACACACGTGATGAAATAAGTGTGATCAGTCGACCTCTAGTTGAATAGTCAAAAAATTAACATAGATTTTCAATCTATAAGAATTAAAAAAATGGAAAGCGCATTGCCGATATACACATAATCCAAAAATGTGTGATGGGTCGTTTTCTAGTTGAATAATCGAAAAATTCACAAAATGACAATAAATAAGATTCAAAATGACGAAAAATAACCATAAGAGAATGAAAAGCTAATTGCCAATATATGCGTCATATACAAACAAAGGTGTCGATTACACGATAACAAAACAATAAAATAATAAATAATAAAAAGATGATTATGAAAATTATTAGAAGAAATAAAAAAAAAGAGAAATGACGAAAATATGTGTCCACTTGAAAATGAAAGAAAAAGGATAAAAGACAAGAATTTTATGCAAAATATGTGGCCTCTTCAAGCAATGGCCCTATAGTTCATGAAAATTACAATAAAATGTTTCACGTTTGCAAGTTTGGTCACTTGAAATGTTTTTTTTTTAAAAATACTGGGTTAGAGTTAGTATTGATGTAGGAGATGGTTTGTGTAAATCTAGAGAGAGTTGTAGAGAGAAACTTAGAAAGAGCCATGTTTAGTGAATAAAGAATTAAAGTTAAAATGCTTGGAGGCTTAACAATCCCTGTATAAGACAGGTTTTTTGCTATGAGTTTAGACCATGGGGTACTGTTGCCTGCAAAGACAAAGGTTTTTTGCTATGAGTTTAGACCATGGGGTACTGTTGCCTGCAATTTTTTCATAATAAGCATTTTCTGTTGTAACTTGTGATTATTCACATCAGACATCTTTTAGTTTTGATCATAAATTTTTTTCCTAATAAACAATGCTCATGGCGATTTGGTAAGAAAATTAAGTAAAATGTAGTTGGAGTTTGATAAACATTTATTTATGGGTAGTGACAACATGTGATATTTTTTGTATTAAAGTTACAATGATCAGAGTATATGACAATATGAAAATGTTCACATTAACTAGGCCAAAACTGTGAACAAAAATCATAAACTTTTTTCTTGATATGACTTGAATCGGACTATCAGCCGCTACGACTGGTAATCGGGGGTCTCGCCACGGTGTATGGGCTCAATGTTATTTGGGTTCGGGTTCTGGGCCTGGTCTGTAACCGTTTCCTTTGCCAGATTGGATTAGATTTAGACCCACATGGAGAAGTACTATAAATACTTCTCATACTCCTCTGTAATCTGTAATCTCATTGATATAGTGAAACTGGCTCTCTCTCGCCCGTGGATGTAGCTAACACACATCGTGTTAGTGAACCACGTAAATCGTGTGTCGTGTTTTTCTATTCTCGCTTTCGTATTCTTGCTTTGTCGATTCCTGCGATTTCCCGATCCGTAGCAGCGCGTTTATAACAAGTGGTATCAGAGCCGCGGCTGGAAATCAGGTTAGGGTTTTCGATTCAGAAGAATGACGTCGGTGAACATAAAGATCGAAAAGTTCACGGGGAAGAACAGCTTCGCTATATGGCAGATCAAGATGCAGGCTTTATTAAAACAGCAAGGGCTGTGGGGGCCGCTGTCTGCGAAACAGAAGAAGGCAGCGGTCGATGACGATGAGTGGAATACCCTGGAGGAGAAGGCCCACTCGACCATCATGCTATCGTTGTCTGATGACGTCATCATTGAAGTCGCTGCTGAGAAGACTGCCGCGGGCTTGTGGTTAAAGTTGGAGAGTCTGTATATGACGAAGTCCTTAACCAACAACCTGCATCTCAAGCAACGGTTGTTCAGCTTGAGGATGCAAGAAGGTACGCCTTTGAGGGAACATCTCGAACAGCTTAACTATATTTTGCTGGATCTGCGTAATATAGATGTTCAAGTTGATGACGAGGATGCTGCCCTAATCCTGCTGGTTTCTTTGCCGAGTTCATATGAGAATTTCGTTGATTCTTTTATTGCTGGTAAAGAAAGCGTGTCGTTGGAGGATGTCAGGTCTGCTCTTCATACGAGAGAGATAAGACATAAGGCGTTAGGATCTGGTACAGGTGGTGAGGCATCGGGTTTGGCTGTTACAGGTGGAAAGGAAAAGAAGAAATCTGGTAAAGGGAATTCGAACAAGAATTCCAAGGGTCCCGGTCCACAGCCAGGTGATGCTTGTCACAACTGTAAGGAAGTGGGGAATTGGAAGTACAACTGTCCCAAGAGAAGAGGGCAACAGAAGAAACAAGGTTCGGTTACCGTGGCAGAAGTGGACAACATTTCTGAAGACGATCTCGCCTTGGCTGTAGATGAGAAGGCACATCGTGGGGATGTGTGGTTTCTGGATACTGCAGCCTCATACCATATGTCTCCGAACAGGGATTGTTTCACAACCTACGAGCAGATAGATGGTGGTAACGTGGTCATGGCTAATGGAGCTGTCTGCAAGGTTGTTGGAATCGGGTCCATAAAGGTTCGGACACATGATGGTTCGTTCTGTACCGTGAATGATGTCAGGCATGTTCCACGAATGACAAAGAACCTGATCTCCTTGAGTCTACTCGACAGCAAGGGTTTCAGTTTCAAAGGAAAAGGTGGAGTTGTGTATGTCTGCAAAGATTCAAGGAAGGTGCTGAAGGGCGTGAAGCGTGGGACCTTGTATGCATTACAAGAGTCTGTGTTGTCTGGTTCTGCTGCAGTTGCATCGTCTCAGGTTCATAAGGAAGATATGACTACTCACTGGCACATGAGACTGGGGCATATGAGTGAACGGGGGATGCAAGTTCTGTCGAAGAGGGATCTTCTTTGCTGGCACAAGATGCAGAATTTGGAATTCTGCGAGCATTGCGTGTTTGGGAAGCTACATCGCAGCTAGTTTCCCAAGAAGGGTATCCACCGAACGAAGGGGATACTAGATTACCTCCGCTCCGACTGTTGGGGTCCTTCACGAGTTGAATCCATTGGAGGCAGCATGTATTTTCTGTCTATTATTGATGATTATTCGAGATTTACTTGGATTTTCATGATGAAGCAGAAAAGTGAGGCTTTCACGAAGTTCAAGCAGTGGAAGACATTGGTGGAAAATCAAACCGGGAAGAAGATCAAGAAGCTGCGAACGGACAATGGTCTGGAGTTCTGTAAGTCTTGAGTTCAACGAATTCTGCAAGGATGAAGGGATTGCCCGTCATCGGACTGTGAGAGATACACCCTAGCAGAATGGCGTTGCAGAAAGGATGAACCAAACATTGTTGGAGAGAGCACGGTGCATGCTCTCTAATGCTGGACTAGAGAGAAGATTCTGGGCAGAAGCAATGAACATGGCGTGCTTCCTGATCAACTGTGGACCTCACACAGGTATTGAGTTGAAGACTCCTTATGAGGTGTGGTATGGTAAGCCTGCTGATTACTCTTCACTGAAAGTTTTTTGGGTGTCCTGTTTATTATCATGTGGATGAGGGTAAACTGAACCCAAGGGCAAAGAAGGGTGTATTTGTGGGTTACGGAGATGGAGTTAAGGGATTTCGAGTTTGGTCACCTTCTGAGCATCGAGTTATACTCAGTAGAAATGTGATATTTGATGAGAAGTCTTAACACCATGTTGAAGGTTACTGTTGTTGAAGGTAGCAGGAATGTTGATAAGCAGGTGGAGCTGCAAACTCTCAAAGAGAGTGAGTTTGAGCACCAAGGTGGAGAAGATTAACATGATGAGTATGTCTCTGCAGAGTCAGAAACTTCAGAGTCCAGTGCACGAGCTCAACAGTCTATTGCTTCCGGTAGACCGAAGAGAGCGATTGCAGGAGTACCTCCACAGAGGTATGGCTTCGAGGACATGGTGGCGTATTCATTTCAGGTTGCTGAAGAAGTGGATGCAGGAGAGCCACAGTCCTATAGAGAAGCAGTTTCGGGTGGTGAAGCTGATTAGTGGCTTGCCGCAATGGGAGATGAGATGGAATCCCATGACAGGAATCAGACTTGGGAGATAGTCAAACGACCACGGGGAAGGAAGATTGTTACAAACAAGTGGATCTACAAGAAGAAGGAAGGAATCATTTCTAAAGAGGGCATGAAATTTAAAGCTCGAGTGGTTGCACGAGGTTTCTCGCAGAGGGAAGGAGTTGACTACAATGAGATTTTCTCACCAGTGGTCAAACATACTTCGATCAGAGTGCTACTAGCAATAGTGACACATTATGACTTGGAGCTCGAGCAGCTAGATGTGAAGATAGCTTTCCTACATGGAGAGTTGGAGGAAGAAATTTACATGACTCAGCCAGAAGGATTCGAGGTTTTGGGAAAAGAAGACTATGTTTGTAAGCTGAAGAAGTCCTTGTATGGACTTAAGTAGTCTCCGAGGTAGTGGTACAAGAGTTTTGACAGTTATATGCTTGAGTTGGGCTATAGCAGAAGTCCATATGATTGTTGTGTGTATCACAACAAGGTGGAGGATGGTTCGATGATCTATCTTGTTCTGTATGTGGATGATATGCTCATAGCTGCGAGGTCAAAGTCTGATATCCAGAAGTTAAAGGGGCTTCTCAGTGCTGAGTTTGAGATGAAGGATTTGGGAGCTGCTCAGAAGATCTTGGGTATGGAGATTTACAGGGACAGGTCGAAGAAGAAGCTTTTCTTGTCACAGAAGAGCTACATCCAGAAGATACTGTCGAGGTTTAGCATGTCTTCAGCAAAGCCCTTAAATACTCCCAGTGCTTCAAATGTTCATCTATCCTCAGCTTATGCACCGCAGTCAGAGGCTGAGAAGGAGTACATGTCGAGAGTTCCATATGCTAGTGCAGTAGGTAGCTTGATGTACGCTATGGTATGCACTAGACCTGATCTTGCACATGCTGTTAGTGTTGTCAGCAGGTTTATGATACAACCTGGGAAGGAGCATTGGCAGGCTGTGAAGAGGATCTTTCGGTACCTTAAGGGTACACCTGATGTGGGGATTAGCTTCGGAAGTGATACAGAGTGCTTGGTGTCTGGGTATTCTGACTCGGACTATGCTGGAGATGTTGACACGAGGAGATCGATGACCGGTTATGTATTCACTCTTGGGAGTTCTATAGTGAGCTGGAAGGAAACTTTGCAGTCGGCGGTGACATTGTCTACTACTGAGGCAGAGTATATGGCGTTGACAGAAGCTGCGAAGGAAGGGAATATGGTTGAAGGGACTGGTTGGTGATCTGGGTCTACATCATGATCAGGCAGTGGTGTATTGCGACAGTTTGAGTGCAATATGCTTGACCAAGGATCAAGTCCACCATGAGAGGACTAAGCACATCGACGTGAGGTATCATTTCTTGAGGACAGAGAAGAGGATTAAGGTGAAGAAGGTTGGCACCGCGGATAATCCTGCTGATATGTTCACGAAGCCGGTTCCACATGGCAAGTTCCAACACTGCTTGGACTTGCTGAATGTCTTGAGTGGGTGACTCCGCCCTGCGGGGCATTGATGGCGGGAGAGAGAGAGAGAAGGAGCAGAGTATATCAGAGATTTCAGAGGAAGAGGATTCAAGTCAAGGTGGAGATTTGTTGATATGACTTGAATCGGACTATCAGCCGCTACGACTGGTAATCGGGGGTCTCAATGTTATTTGGGTTCGGGTTCTGGGCCTCGTCTGTAACCGTTTCCTTTGCCAGATTGGATTAGGTTTAGACCCACATGGAGAAGTACTATAAATACTTCTCATACTCCTCTGTAATCTGTAATCTCCTTGATATAGTGAAACTGACTCTCTCTCGCCCGTGGACGTAGCTAACACACATCGTGTTAGTGAACCACGTAAATCGTGTGTCGTGTTTTTCGATTCTCGCTTTCGTATTCTTGATTTGTCGATTCTTGCGATTTCCCGATCCGCAGCAGCGCGTTTATAACACTTTTTAATGCCGTAATCATGCTCCAAATCTTACAAGAGCAAGGTCAACCATTTGATCTACTGTAGAAGGACGATTAACCTTTTTTTTATGTGTTTAATCTGAATTCTGTAGAGCTCAAATGACAAATGCAACCTTATAAGATCGCTGAGTTCTTCAATTGCAACAGGGGAAAGAAACCGATTAGTAGCTTTTCCCCCTTCCTGATGTGGGAACAGAGTTCGTCGCAAGATCACTTAAATGCAGAAGAGGTTAAATTTGCTCCGGTATGCGGCGAACAAACCAGAACACAGAGTTTGCCTTTTGTTTTCCTTTTGACTGTTGTGTCAAATGGATTAACAGAGAAGCAACGAAAAGGGATAGGGACGAGAGAGACAGAGAGGGAGTCTATTAGACGATGGATGGACGAAACAAAGGAGAAAAAAACAGTCCATTTGGAAGGCTAGTTCTTCTACGTGGCGAGCAGCATGCATAAGAATCCAACAGCTGTCCACCATGGCTCCAAACCGTCTCTTCCCAATCATCATCTATAACACTTCCACTTCTCATCCATGCAACCACCCTCTTTCTCTCTCTTCCGCCTCCTGATCCGCTGCTTCCATTCCTCTACCTCTATTAATCCATCCAATTCTCACCATTCTTAGTTGGTTGATGCTTGAAACCCATTTGACTGCTTAATTTTGGGGGGGAAATCAGAGATCATGCCTCGAAGATACGCGTTCGGGAGGGCGGACGAGGCCACCCATCCTGATTCAATGAGAGCCACTCTGGCCGAACTTGTCTCCACTTTCATCTTTGTGTTTGCAGGGGAAGGCTCTGTTCTTGCTCTGGGTACAGTTTTCATCTTAGCATTCGTTGTTTTTTTTTTTTTTTTTTTTTTTGCTTTTGTTTTCTCAATTTCTGGTTTGGTATAATCGGAGAGCATGTGTTTGGTGCATCAGACAAGCTGTACAAGGAAACAGGGCCCCCGGCTTCCGGCCTGGTGATGATCGCCCTGGCGCATGCGCTGGCACTGTTCGCCGCGGTGGCAGCTAGCATCAACGTCTCCGGTGGACACGTCAATCCAGCTGTCACCTTTGCTGCCCTTGTTGGGGGGAGGATCTCGGTTGTTCGAGCAATCTATTATTGGATTGCGCAGATCCTCGGCTCCATCATCGCCTCTCTCTTGCTCCGTCTCGTCACAAATGGCATGGTAATCCCCTCTTAAAACCCCTGCTCAAACCCTGCTGGTGACGAAGTTAAACGTACTTGTACGGAGTACACGTTCTGATTCGGGTACCATTTCGAACATTCGAAATATAATTTTTGTGATTGATCTCTTTTGCGCAGAGGCCGGTTGGGTTCTATGTGACATCCGGGGTGGGCGAGGGGAACGGGCTGATACTGGAGATTGTGCTGACATTCGGGCTGGTGTACGTGGTCTACGCCACGGCCATCGATCCCAAGAGAGGGAGTTTGGGGATCATGGCGCCACTAGCGATTGGGCTCATAGTCGGGGCGAACATCTTGGTTGGTGGCCCGTTCGATGGCGCGGCAATGAATCCGGCGAGGGCGTTCGGGCCGTCGTTGGTGGGATGGAGATGGAAGAACCATTGGATCTACTGGCTGGGTCCTTTCCTCGGTGGAGGATTGGCGGCGATCATCTACGAGTACATGATCATCCCCACCGAGCCGCCGCTTCATACCCATCATCAGCCTTTGGCTCCTGAAGACTACTAAGCTTACTGCCATTGCTGAGTGGATCTCAAAGAGTTGTAAAGCAGCACGCTTATCTGCACCTTGTGTTTGTTTTTGTCTCTCTTTTCACTGGGGACTGAAGACTTTGTTTTTTTTAAGTGTTTTGTTCATTGTCATTGTCATGCGTCTTTGTTGAACCCTTCATAGTTTCCTGTGATGGAAATAAAATTTGTGTCATCTTTGTTCCCCTTTATAGAAGCGAATGAGTTATATAAGACTTACAAGAATAGGCATGGCGTTTTTGGGCACCATAGCAAACACTAATCTAGAAACCAAACCAGGTGGTGACAGCTTGACAGGAAGTCTCCATAGTCACACTCAGTAAAGGAAATCTTCGTGCTCCCGGGAGAAATACAAGGAGTTAGTTTAACTATATCTTGCATCGTAGGCACAGGCAATTTGCATATTGAGAAGTCCCAGAGAAGTAGTTTTACCATTGAGTTTTATTATACCTTGCATCACAAGCAACTTGCAGATTTAGGAGCTAGTACAAAAGTCATGCATTATCGAAAGTTCAATAGGCTAGGGTTAGGTGAATCATCCTCACAAAGATGGAAATTCAACTAGCTACTAGATCGATTGTGTGCACAAGGATGGAAAATCAACTAGCTACTAGATCGATTGTGCGCTTGAAGGGTATAGTAGAAAGACTTGCTAGTTAAGGTAGATTGTGTGCTTGAAGGGTATAGTAGAAGACTTGCTAGTTAAGGTAGATAAATTCATATATGCCATTGATTTCATCATCTTAGATGTTAAATAGGATATAGAAGTTCTTCTTGCTCTAGGAAGATCATTTCTTGCTATCGCTAAGGCAATTATGAATGTACATAAGACTACCCACGGTGTGGGTGGGACAGAAGGAAAAAGATTACATTTTGGCTCACAATGGGAAAGGAAAAAAAGAAAAAAGAGGGTGGGCACCGTCGGATCGTGCGACTGGCCAATCTCACTCGCCCCTTCCCCTTTTTTCTCCTCCTTTTGCCTTCTTCCTGAGGGTGGGACGAATACGGCCCACCGTCGAGCAGTGCGGGTTCAAAGTTATATAATTTTTTCGTTTTTTTTCCTTTAATTGTTTTTTAGGGTTATTTGTTTTGCAGCCTCATCAAACTAGTACAGTGCCGCCCTACCGGTTTGGTACCTTGTCATGTGGTCACCAATTAAGTCCATAATGACAACTTGATCTCCATAAAAAATTTAGGCTAATCAAGTTGTTACCTTGCCGCCCTACCGGCTTGCTACCGGGGCATTCTTGCAACCAAGCCCGTCTTGTCGGCTTCATACTCTATCAGCTACCAACCTTGTCACCTTTGTCTCATCGGGTTGGTACCTTGTTGTGGCCACCAAAGTCCATCTTGCCGGCTTGATCTCCATGCTTTTTTAAGTCTCATGGTATTGTTCAATCCTGTCGGGTTGGTACCTTGTCAGCTTGTTTGATACCCTATTACCTTGTCGACTTAGTATCCTGCTAGCTTGCCACCAAACCCGTCTTGTCGGCTTGTTGACAAGTCTGTCTTGTCTGGCTGGTACCTTGCCTAACAAGTCTCCACCTATAGGGTTCGATACCATGCCCGCTAGACACCAAGCCTATCTTTTCTACTTGTTCTTCCTACTTAGTTTTGGAGCCTCATCAAGTTGTGACCCTATCTGCTTGGTACCCTGTCAACTAGCCACTTTATCACCTCCATCTCATCGGGTCGGTACCCAGTCGTCTGTCACCAAATATGTGTAATCAACTTGACTCCTCGTCACCCTGTCAGCTTGCGGCTCTATCAACTTGTCACCAAACTTGTCTTGTCGACTTGGTACTTGCCGCTTTGCCGACAAGCCATCAGGATTCCATACTTAGTTTCTGGGAATCTCAATTTCATACTCACGGCTAGTTACATACGTCTTATCATCTAGCCTGTTGGGACTGGCTGAGGTCATGATGATGACGGGCTGTCAATCACTTAGGCAAGCAACAGGGGTGTTACGCACAAAAATCCAAACCCTTAAGCCCTATTTTAATAATTTAATCTTTAAAGTTGAGCTGGTCTTCTAAAGACATTAATTATTTTTCTTTGTAATTAATCGACGTGGTATAAAATTATTTTTAAATATAAAAATGAAGAAAAGAATACATTTCTAACAATCTTCTATACTAAATATTATGGCTATTCAAAAATAACATCTTGCCACATAAACACTTGGTGAATGCACAAGTTGCCAAGGTGGACAATTTTTTTTCAAAGAAAAAACTATTTATTGATCTATTTATGAAGTTGTCTCTCTCTTCTTTTAATAATTCTACTCATTTTTACTAATATTAAAATAAGTTAATTTTTTAGAAAAAATTTAAACAAAAAACACACACCTAAGTAATAAAAAAAATTCGATTAAACGAACTATAAAGATGGAAATAGAGAGTGACATATATTGTATTTGTTTAACCCAAGCTGATTAAATCTAATTAAGTAAATTTTCTACTCATTCTTACTAAAACTTAATAATAAGTTACATTTTGATGAAGAAAAAAAAAAACATGCTCACACATAAATATTAGTATTTTTTAATTCAAAATATAAACGATGGTCTAAGAGAAAATAAACGTTTGACAATCAATCGACTTTGAGAAATGAACGATATGACTATATGTGTTTTGCTATCAAACACTCACTTCTTTCTTATGTATATACCTATAAAATAAAACAAGTATAAATTATAGAGCAAAATGTCTGAATATAAACTTGATAGAGCAATAATTGTTATTTTTTTAAAAACTTCTTGTTCATTTATATTAAATGAAAATATATTAATTATTAATGCAAACTTTTAATTTGTTTCTATCCCTTTCCCCATTTTGATTGTCTCTCTAGAAATAAAATCCAACATTGAAAATAAGAAATCAAGAAAGTATGTCAACCACCATAAAAATAAACAAAGTCCTCTTATTAGTTGCTAAATTTTTTGAGATTTCTAATATTTGTATTCTCATAATTTATAGAGAAGGAAATGATAATGCATACGATTTTTTTTCTTTGTATGAGAATAGGAGGCAGAAATTACACGAGACAACGATAAGATGACAAAATTTTGAGCAGTTGTAACATATTTTTGCCTATTGACGAAAAAAGTTAATATGATCATTGTGAAGATGAGGTGAACCAAGCCGAGGGTTGTCGACTGCTCCCTCTTCCTCCTTGATCTAAAGCTAGCAATTGGTCTCACTTTCTCAGCGATATGTTATTGTTTGCGGTTAACTGACCGAGTTATACTCTTTTCTCATTCTTTTCTTAATTTCTTCCAAAGTACGACTGCTGGATGGTAAATTTTCCCACTCTCGATGAGTGAATATATTTCGTCTTTGTTTTTTTACTGAGAAGGGTCGTCGTATACTTTCATGTATATAAAATATAATTATAAGGGTTAATTGGTTGGACTTAGGGCATACCTCCTTTGGTTGAATAATTGATCGTTTTTCTTGAATGCCTATTGCAACCCAATTTCTTGAATGTTGAAATGGAAAGTAGAGTTGTGATGATTGTTTATTATATTTTATGTTCATGATTGACATGCTACTACTAGCCAGCTATACAATGATGATCTGGTTAGTAATTAGTAGGTAGCAAAGGGGTTAGAAGTAGAAGGGAACATAATTGGGGTTTTATAAAGGTCGCGAAGAAGAAAGAAAATGATAATGGTGGTTTCTCGGTTGTCTATTTCGATGTTTTTTTTAATTTCTACATGTTTGCGGTGACATTTGTTTGTTTCATTAAGGTGAATTTTTCTACATTGAATCCCTAATTAAAGATTGATTTTGACATGATTGTTTTCTTACAAACTACTATTTGGATTGATTCATATATTCAGTTCACAAATAAGGAATCTGAATGATAAAATGAGTTGAGTTGTATTGAAGACTGCTCTTTTCATTATTTGTCTATGTTGTTATTTGGTAATAAAGCACAGGGCAAATCATTTATAGTTATCTAAAGGATTACGCCAAAATCCTTGGTGTACTCATTTTCTCTGTTTTCTCTGAATGAACCACCAGAATCACTCGCCGGCGGCTGATCTGAATCATTCAGACAGACCACCGGATCCTGGCCAGGATATGAGCAGCGGATGTGATACGTCCATGTCCGTGGAGCTAACCGCCGTCAATGAATCTGACCGCTCAGTGGCGGCGACGGAGGCAAATATGACTGAGGCCCCGAGACAACAGGAGATCCTTCTGAGCCAACAGATGGCTACCCAGCCTCTCTCGTATGCAAATGCGGTGATGGGGAAAGCCACGGAGACGTTTCAGAACAAGATAGCCTGGACCCCAGTTGGCGAGCACGACCTAATCAGAGATATCTACAATGGGGAACCGGAGCTGAGGATCTCGAATGTTTTCAAGGAAAGATTATGTGTCTCCTGGCAACGCACTCTCGTAGTTCGGGTCCTTGGTCTGAGTATCTCTTTCGCAGCGTTCAGCAACAGAATCAAAAGCCTCTGGCGTCCATCGGGAACAATTGAGATCATGACTCTAGGTCAGGAGTGTTTCTTAATCAAGCTTAGCAACGATTCTGACTACTTTCGGGCCTTAACGGAAGGGCCATGGGTCATCTTTGACCATTACCTGGTCGTTTTTCAATGGACACCAGATTTCCGTCTGTCGGATGCCATGCCAAAGTCCATGGTGGTGTGGATTCAATTCCCGGCTTTCCCGGTACACTTTTACCACATGGAAATTCTGTTCACGATAGGGAACATGATTGGTCGGGCAATCAAGCTTGATTTCCACACACAACACCAACAACGTGCAAAGTTCGCTCGGATAGCTGTGGAGCTCGATCTCTCCAAACCTCTGATCACACGGATCCGGCTGGACGGAAAGTGGCAATACATCGAGTACGAAAATCTGCCAACCTGTTGCTTTGAATGTGGCAAAATTGGCGACACTTCCTTGACGTGCCCCCTTACGATGATGAAGGCTCAACAGTCCCAATCGGAACCGTCACAGAGGTCGCCGGAAAACTGGGAAGAAACGCCGTCGGAGGACAAGGCCGGTTTCGGGCCTTGGATGCAAGTGACGCGTCGAACCCGGCGAAACAACAGGAAGGCTGAGAAAGGAAACTCTAACGTCAATCAGGGAGAGGCGGCTGGAAATGGAAGGCCTGGGAAAGGAAAGCATGTGAATACAGATGTGAAAATCCTCAACGGAAAGAAGGGAGGACAAAAGGAAACTGGAAAAAAGGAAACTGGGGCTCAGGAAAAAGGAAGGGCCGATGATAATGGCCAACGAAAAGGGAAGGAAGGGGCTGGTAAAGATATGGTGGAAGAGGCAACGGGTGGGAAAGGAATTCTTGGGCCCATTCCGTCTGCGAAAGCTGGACTCTTTGCCGGGCTTAATAAGGAGACGGGCCTGTCCAGGAGCAAGGAGCCTGGAGCTAAACCAAGCTCTAGTGGAAACAGGCCGAGTGGAGGCCATAATAAACCAAAGCCCAATGACAACACTTCTCCTGCAAGCCCGCCGCCCACTACACAGCTGACAGGCCCGAATGCCACGAACATTCAGATTGTAAGTGTCCCAACGCTGGAGATGCAAAAAGATTCGGCGGCTAGAGCAGAGGCTCCATCGGCGACAGCCCGGACCAAAAATCGCAGCGCTCAAAACAAAAAGAAGGCGAAGTCGCCTCGCAAGTCTCCGACGAAGGTGGCGATGAGGGCTCTTCAAGTCTGGACGCCGGTCAAGGAGAGGAAGTCAAAGGCTAGAGCAAAAATGGCGTCCTTGACCCTTGAAGAGATTGCAGCTTGGACAAGTGTTGGGCAATCGGGACAGGAAGTAGGAGGGGAGCCGGGTCTGCCAAAGAAAGATGCTCGCATGGCGGTGGCAGATCTAGCTAATCCGACAGCGGCTTCCTAGCCGTGGTTGATCCTTTCTCCCTCGTCTTTATTCAATTGTTGTTTTTAATGTCTGGTTTTTCAAATTGCAAGCCCTCTTTTCTCTCGTGGAATGTTGGAGGCGCTGGCAACAGTGCCTTCATCAGAGCTTTGAAGCTCATTGTCCTTAATCATAAACCTGACTTTTTGATTCTTTTGGAACCGCAGATCAGCAGGGAGGTGGCGGATAGAGTGTGTGGAAGGATGGGATTTCCGAATATTATGAGGGTGGAGGCGGATGGTAGGAAAGGTGGAATTTGGCTCTGTTGGGATGCGAAAGTCTTTACTGTTGAGTTGATTTCAGCCTGCTTCCAGCACCTCACGGTGAGAGTCACGGGCACGGCTATGCCACCCTGGCTCCTGACAGCAGTCTATGCGAGCCCAAAGCAGGAACTGCAGCGGTTCTTATGGCAGGCCATCGAGAAAACCAGAGAGGAGCTTGACCTTCCTTGGCTCCTCACTGGGGATTTTAATGCCATCCGTACCCCGTTGGAGCAAACGGGCAGAGTTACGAATTCCATACTTCGCCGCTGTCAACGTTTCAGTGAGAGGATCGATCATGCTGAGTTCATTGACCTTGGGTATTCAGGACCACGATTCACTTGGACCAGAGGATAAAATCCTGAATCTTATAAAGCCAGTAGGATTGATCGGAGCGTATGCAACTTGTCGTGGAATGGCAGCTTCCCCAACACGTCGGTTCTCCACCTACCTCGTCTCCACTCCGATCATCATCCCATCTTAACCACGACAGGGAGTCAGGGAGTTCTCTCAAACCCTTCTCGTCCTTTTCGTTTTGAGGGTGCTTGGCTAACCCATGAAGCTTATGCTGATTTCCTTGCCACCAGCTGGGACTCGCAAGCGCCACTTCAAGAGGCGTTGAAGAAGGCGGCAGAAAAGCTAGCTGAGTGGAACAGATCTACCTTTGGCAATGTGCTAAAAAAGAAGAGGAGACTCCTCAAGCGTATTCATGGCATTCAAGCTAGGGTGGCAAATGAATTCTCACCGGGGCTGTTCAAACTGCAAACAAAGTTAGAGAAAGAGCTTGACGAGGTCTTGGAGCAGGAAGAGGTTCTGTGGTTCCAAAGGGCCAGGGAGAAGTGGGTGAAGTTCGGCGAGCGGAACACGGCATACTTCCACCAGCAGGCGATTATCAGAAGGCGGAGAAACAGAATTACGAGCCTGAAGAACAGCTCGGGGGATTGGATTTCTGATCCCCATGAGCTGGCAGCTCTGGTCTTCGATTTTTTCTCCCTTCTGTACCTGCAAGATGACCAGGAGTACACTGACGAGATGCCCAAGCACGCCTTTCCGAGGATTCAGCAGGAGGATCTCCTTTGGCTGCTGCGTCCTTTTACTGAGGCAGATATCCAGGGAGCGGTTCAGGACATGAAACCTTTTCAAGCTCCTGGCCCGGATGGATTTCAAGCCATCTTCTACCAAAAGTCTTGGCAGGTGGTCGGTAAGGCTTTGTGTGATTTGGCCCTAAGTTTTTTTTTCCTCAGGTGAGTTGCCGGAAGAAGTGGTGGAGTCTACTGTGGTGCTTATACCCAAGGTGGAACATCCGGAAATGGTCTCCCAACTTCGGCCGATCTCCCTGAATAACGTGTGTTTGAAGGCCATCACCAAAGCCATCACCAACAAACTCAAACCCATTATGAGGAAACTTGTGTCTCCGCGACAGAGTAGTTTCATCCCTGGGCGCCAAACCACAGATAACATTATTGTTTTGCAGGAAGTTTTACATTCTCTCAGGAAAAAGAAAGGGAAAAGAGGGGGAATTGTGTTGAAGATTGACCTAGAGAAAGCCTATGACCGCCTTAGGTGGGACTTTCTGCGGGATACTCTCAAGGAAGTAGGCCTTCCCAGCTCGTGGATTAACTGCATCATGTTCTGTGTGGAGCATAACAGGATGAGACTGCTGTGGAATGGAGAGCTCTCAGCCCCCATTAACCCGACTAGAGGAGTCAGACAGGGAGATCCCCTCTCGTCCTATCTTTTTGTTTTATGCATGGAGAGACTTTCTCACAGAATTGAACAGGCTATTCAGGATAAGCTCTGGAAACCTTTGAAACTGTCCAAAGGGGGTCCTGAGATTTCTCACTTGTTTTTTGCAGATGACCCCATTCTTTTTGCAGAGGCAGAAAGCTCCCAAGTGCGGATAATCAAACAGTGTTTGGATGAGTTTTGTCATAGTTCGGGACAGAGAGTTAACTATAACAAGTCGGCTTTTTTTGTCTCGGCTAACATTGACAGGAGGAGAGCTCGGCGGCTTTCTGCTAGAGCTGGGATTCCGCTCATTGTGGATCTGGGGCGTTACCTGGGAGTGATGGCAATCAACGGGAGGGTTACAAAATCCCGATACCAAGATCTTATCTTGAGAATCCAAAAGAAGCTCGCCCCTTGGAAGACCAGACACCTCTCCCTCGCTGCTCGCATTACTGTGGTGAAGTCTATCTCTGCCTCTATACCTATTTACCCGATGCAGACAGAACTTCTCCCTTTGAATGTTTGCAGGACTCTGGATCGGGTCAACAGGGGTTTTATTTGGGGAGACACTGAAGCCAAGAAGAGACTGCACCTTGTCGGATGGCCGCAGATCATATTACCCAAGAGAAATGGAGGACTTGGAATCCGTTCGACAAGGGAGGTGAACCTATCAATGCTAGCCAAAGGCGGGTGGCGCATCATGCAAGAAAAGGAGAATTTATGGGTGCAATTAGTTCGAAACAAGTATGGAGGGGATCGGCAAAATTTAGAGATCCTGAAGCCTGTCAAGGGAAGTTCCTTTACCTGGGCTAACTTCACCAAAGCTGCCGATCTTTTAAAACAGGGGTGTGCCTGGAACATTCATAGAGGAAACCAGACTAAGTTTTGGTCTGATCCGTGGATTTTGCAGGTCCCGCTGTACGAGGTAGCTACGGAGACGATCTCGGAGGAGGAGCGACTAATGCCGGTGTCTGAGTTCGTTGATGATGAATGAGAGTGGAAAGTCGAGAAGTTCGGAACTAGACTTTCGCAGGAGATGGTTCAGAAGATCACAGCCCATGCTATTGACCCATTGGCGACAGAGGATGACAAGCTATTCTGGAGAGAAACATCTAATGGCCGTTTCTCTACTAAGAGCGCGTACCAGCTACTGCAGAATGCTCCCTCGAGCGACCAGCAGCAGTGGTGGAAGACAGTTTGGCAGCTTCCTATTCCTGAACGTATTAGATGTTTCATTTGGCTGGCTGCGTAGGGGAAGGTGAGCTCAAATGAGTTTAGAGCACAAAGTCACCTGACACAGGAGGTCTCTTGTTACAGATGTGCGACCCAGACTGAGAGCCTCTCTCACATTTTCCGTGATTGCCCACCGGCAGCCTACTTCTGGCACCGCATGGTTCCTATAGATTTGCAGCAGGAGTTCTTCAGTCTGCCTTTGGAGGATTGGTTGCACCAAAATATTACCAGCAAGAATTCGACGTCCAATGGGCTTCCTTGGGATGCTTTCTTCAGCATTGCAATTTGGTGCTTGTGGAAGAACAGGAATGAAGGAGTCTTTAAAGGCCTTAACAAGACTCTATCGGCCCCTTCCCTCGTGCAGGCTATCAAGATCAAGGCTAGTCTATGGATTCAGGCTTGGAATGCACCTTCTACCCTGATTGGTAGAGGGAACACTGCTCCGAGTCGTTCTTTAATGCAGATAGGGTGGACACCTCCGCCGACAGGGTGGACAAAGATCAATGTGGACGGAGCTGCTGGTGGAGCGCACAGTCTGGCTGGGGCAGGTGGGGCTGCCCGGGATGCGAACAGCGAATGGCTTGGAGGTTTTGTGATGAGTTTGGGCTCTTGTGCGGCAACTTTGGCGGAGCTCTGGGCTATCTACCATGGGCTGAGGTTAGGCTGGAGTCTTGGCTGCAGGACCCTCATCATTGAGTCAGATTCCCAGCTGGCCTTACAGCTGGTGAAGAACAGGGTCGATCCTTTACACCCTCACGCGGCTATTTTATCAGCTATTAGGAGGAAGATCTCTCAAGATTGGGTGGTGAGACTGATTCATACATACCGCGAAGGGAATAGAGTCGCGGACTGGCTCTTGAAGCACAGTCTCGTCTATCCCTATGGTATGTATGAATTGGAATCTCCACCGCTAGAGTTACTTCCCCTTCTGCAGGATGATCAGAGAGGTACTACGTTTCCTAGAAGGGTGGTGAATACCTCCCCTGCGTCTTCTGCTTAATCCACCCCCGCCCCTGTTTTTCTTCTTTCTCTGGCTTCTTAGCCTCCTGTAATGCAAAAAAAAAAAAATGGTAATAAAGCACAATTCTTTTCTGCAGGAGATATGTAGCTCTGTACAAAATATAAATTGTGTTTAATAATATGCAGTTTAATTTGCTGAAAATATTGCTTTAATAAGTTAGTGACAGCTGATAGTTTAGTTTGTGGTTGGTTTTGCTAGAACATTTCAAGGTAATTAAACAAGTACGTGGAAGATTGATGGACGTGGATGCTAATGAGTTTCCTCATTATTCCAAAATTGTATGTGTAAGTGATAATACACGATATTCATGAGATTTATATTGGAATATTCTCTATTATCATATACCGACATATGAGAAGGGAGAGAAAATAAAAAGCTCTTCGCTTATTTTTTTTATTAATTGAAGCATATTTTCTTATTCTAACTTCTTCTTTTATGGCCGCAAGTTTTTTAACTTCTTTATCAAAATTCTGTGCTAAAGAATGAATAATCTCTTAGGTTTATAATCTTAAAGGGCGAGTTCGATAAAAAAATTCTAAATCAATAAAGAACCGTCTACAAAGAGCTCAGTTAATAAAATTAAAATGTTCATAAATAAACAAAAGGTATAAAAATACGAAATAATACCTGAAATAAGGTAAGTGGGATTTTACAATTCCATGTATATTACCTTAGCAAACATAAATAATAATAACAATTTGAATACTATAACGAATTATAAAACAACCAAACAAAATACACCGCCCAACGGGCGGGTAAAAAACTAGTTTATGTAATATTAGAACGCTTTGGTATATCTATCATGCAAATTAATGATTTGAGTCATTTGACCATCCACTTATAATTTGCCCATAAAAAATAAAAATACTAGAAACCAAACAATTGTCAATGGAGACCATTCCCATTGCAAAGTTGCCATAGCCCATTAGCTCGCCCACAAGGCAGGCAGAGGATAAAAGAGAAGATGAAAGTAGGGCACGAACGACTTAATGAATGAGGGTCGGTCCAAGTATTAAATGCCCTTTTTTCTCCCAACAACTACCCAAATCAAGGTTGTAAACCCGTAGGTCGACCCATTTTGACCCTGACTCGATGAGAAAAATGGGTCGACCGCTGTAAGGTATCGGATTGGAGATCAAATTGTGTCATTTTTTCTTTGATTTGAGAAATGTACATATTTTCCAATTTTTCTTTTCGCCTAACTCAATCATTGGAATCCTTAGTTGAACATTTGAATATTGATATAAGTGTGTGTGAATTTTTACTATATGTTGGATCTAAGTACGACATGTTACTTTGGTGTAATGTTATATGTTATTACTCATATGTTAGATGAAATTTGGTATAATTTATCAGGATAAGTACAATATAATGACTTTTTTCATATTTCCGGGCTAAAACGAACTAAAACAGATGACCCATTAACCCTTGACCCACTAATTCAACTAGGTCCGGATCAACCCGCCGGACAACTTGACCCAAACCCTCCCATTGAATTCCCCTCCCCATACCAACGAACTAATTAGCAGTAGCGGTCTCCATCAGATCACCATCCAGCCATGAGCCATCCATCCGCCTTCCCTTCCCTCTTATCTTCCCAACTGGAGAAGATGAAAGTAGGGCACAACAACTTAATGAATGAAGGTCGGTCCAAGTATTTAATGCCCCTTCCTTCCCAACAACTACCCAAACCCTCCCATTCAATTCCCCTTCCCTCCCCCTCCCCATACCAACGAACTAATTAGCAGTAGTGGTCTCCATCAGATCGCCATCCAGCCATCCATCCGCCTTCCCTTCCCTCTTATCTCCCCAACTGATCATTTTCATACTGCTCAGGGAAAGAAGAAGAAACAGAGCAAAGCCACAGTTTTGGAAGCTGAAAGCAAACATAACATTCCTACTTGGCGTCACCCGGTCTCCATCGTCAAACCCAAAAAGAGGCTTAGCCAAAGGCACCATCCATATGAAACATTGAGGAGAGGAGACACGCTTACTTCATTCAAACCTAATTTAGTTACTGGTTCCTCATATGAACCGCCTTCTCCCCCACCCAACCACTCATTAACACGCCAATCCCGTTTCTCTCATCTTCTCTTCTTTCTGGTATATAAGTAGTCGCAATTCCTCCCTAAGATATGAGGAACTCATCCTCTGATCCCTCTGCAACGGCGGCGGCGGCGACGGTGATGATGGAGATAGAGGCGAGCAAACCGGCGGGGAACGGGATGGTGGTCGGCGGGCTCAGCCCCCTGAGCGAGACGCTGTGGCGGGAACGGACCAACACGGAGTTCGTCGGCGACGTCTCCGCCAGGCTGACGTGGAAGGATCTGACGGTGATGGTCACCCTTGGCAATGGCGAGACTCAGAATGTCCTCGAAGGACTCACCGGCTATGCGGAGCCTGGCAGCCTCACCGCGCTGATGGGTCCCTCTGGCTCCGGCAAATCCACTCTGCTCGATGCTCTCTCTAGCCGCCTGGCGGCGAACGCTTTTCTCTCCGGCTCCATCCTTCTCAACGGCCGCAAAACCAAGCTCTCTTTTGGAACCGCCGTAAAGTCTTTTTTTTTTTTTTTTTATAATTCTGGGTTAGGAGCTATACCTCTCTGTTTTTCGGACACTTACTCTGTTTTTGTCGCAGGCGTATGTGACGCAAGACGACAACCTGATTGGAACGCTGACGGTGAGGGAGACGATATCTTACTCGGCCAGGCTGCGCCTGCCGGACAAGATGCCGTGGTCGGAGAAAAGGGCACTGATTGAGAGCACCATTGTGGAGATGGGCTTGCAGGACTGTGCTGATACGGTGATTGGGAACTGGCATCTTCGTGGGATCAGCGGCGGCGAGAAGCGTCGAGTCAGCATTGCCCTCGAAATCCTGATGCGACCCAGATTGCTCTTCCTCGACGAACCCACCAGCGGGCTTGACAGGTTTCTTCCCTTTTCTTCCTTTTACACATTCGAGTATCTTATCTTAGCCCACGAACCTTTGAAAGCTGATTTCTTTTACGGCAATTGATGATCAATTTTGTGGGTGTGTTTCTTTGGGCAGTGCTTCGGCGTTCTTTGTGACGCAGACGCTGCGTGGACTATCGAGGGACGGGAGAACTGTGATTGCATCCATCCACCAGCCGAGCAGTGAAGTTTTTGAGCTCTTTGATCGACTTTACCTTCTCTCTGGTGGCAAGACTGTGTATTTCGGCCAGGCTTCAGATGCCTACGAGGTTTCAGTTCACGCTATGGATTCTTTACTTTTCTGTGTTTTCTCCTTCTTCATCTCTGCAATCTCAAGACTAATTTTTTTTTATCGAACAGTTCTTTGCGCAAGCCGGATTCCCCTGCCCTGCTTTGAGAAACCCATCTGATCATTTCCTCCGATGCGTCAATGCTGACTTCGACAAAGTGAAGGCCACTCTCAAAGGATCCATGAAACTGCGGGTACCCTGCCTTTCTTCTCTCTCTTTTCTAACTTCCCTCCAATGAAAACCAGTTTGATTGTATTTCTTATTCCTCCCTCCCTTTGGTGTGTTTATCAGTTTGATGCATCGGAGGATCCTCTGGATAAGATCACCACAGCTGAAGCGATCCGTACTTTGGTTGATTACTACCGAACTTCTCAGTATTGTTATGCTGCAAGGCAGAAGGTGGATGAGATCTCCAAAGTCGTAAGTGCTCTCTGTTCCTGATGAATATAGTGGAACGACCGTCAATTACGATATTTCGATGTAAGATTAGAGCCATTTGAACTGAATTTCGTTTTCTGGTGTGTGCAGAAAGGGACGGTGCTTGATGCAGGAGGGAGCCAGGCTAGTTTCCCGATGCAGGCTTTCACTCTGACCAAGCGCTCCTTCGTCAACATGTCAAGGGATTTCGGTTACTACTGGCTCAGGCTCGTCATCTACATCGTGGTCACCATTTGCATCGGAACCATATACTTCAATGTCGGCACTAGTTACAACTCAATCCTGGTAATTAAGAAGAAAGAATGGAAGTTTGTTACTTTCGAGATCTCGTTGACATTCTGTGTTCTCTGCCTCTAAGTTTACACTGTCTCTGTTTCTGAACCCAGGCCAGAGGCTCCTGCGCTTCATTCGTGTTCGGTTTCGTCACGTTCATGTCCATTGGAGGCTTCCCATCTTTCGTGGAAGACATGAAGGTTAAAACAATTCTGCAACAACTTGATTAGTGTTCTTCGCAGAAATTGGACCGATTCTGATTTTCTGATGCTTGATTTCCTTGGTAACCCTGCTTCAGGTTTTCCAAAGAGAGAGGCTGAATGGCCACTACGGAGTGACAGCATTTGTGATCAGCAACACACTCTCGGCGATGCCGTTCCTCATCACCATCACCTTCCTCTCCGGAACGATCTGCTACTTCATGGTCAGGCTCCACCCGGGTTTCACCCATTACCTCTTCTTCGTGCTCTGCCTCTACGCAAGTGTCACAGTGGTTGAGAGCTTGATGATGGCCATTGCCAGTATTGTCCCCAACTTCCTCATGGGTATCATCATTGGAGCTGGAATTCAGGTTCTCCCACCCTTCTTCTTCCCCTGTCGTTCTCTTAATTTCCCCAAATGAAGCTTAATCTAAACAATCCTGGTTTGGTTGATGGAAACATTTTTCAGGGTATCTTCATGCTGGTCTCGGGCTACTTCAGGCTGCCAAACGACATTCCGAAGCCCGTCTGGCGTTACCCCATGTCATACATCAGCTTCCACTTCTGGGCTCTTCAGGTGAATTGAAACTCTCGACACAGAAACCTCGATTGGTTCTTCCTTTGATTCAAACTGAAACGGAGTTTTAACTTAACCCGTTGGGACATTTCATCGAACATCTTTCAGGGGCAATACCAGAATGACCTGAACGGGCTGCTGTTCAACAACCAAAGCCCGGATCTCCCCAAGATCCCAGGGGAGTACATCCTGGAGAACATCTTCCAGATCAACATCCGCAGGTCCAAGTGGATTGACCTCAGCGTGATCTTCAGCATGATAGTGGTCTACCGCATCATCTTCTTCGTCATGATCAAGATCAGCGAGGATGTGACACCCTGGATCAGAGGGTACATGGCCAGGAGAAGAATGCAGATTAAGAATGGAACCCAGAACACCACGATCGCGCCCGACGGTCTTACCCAGTCGCCTTCTCTCAGGAACTTCGTCGCCAGTCGAGCCACTGGTAATGGAAAGAGATGATTGAAGATCAGAAGAGAAGAGAATGCTGGTGGCGGCAATCCATCGCCAGAGACAGAGGAACTCGTTTCCCAAATGGGTGTAGTTAAGTGATGATATGTGAAGGGTTGTAAAACTTGACAGATAGAGATTTTATTTTCCACGTTGCAACTAAAACAGCTTCTGTTTAATATTTTGTTCAATATGGTTGCTGCCATAAGTGCCATTAGAGTTCCCCTGACAGAGTTAACCTTCGTTATCATGGTAATTATTCTATTTCCAGCTCATTGCTTGCTGTAATTACTGTACCCGCTCTTCTCTTGTCGAGGGTTCTCTCTAGTGATGGCAATGGGTCGGGGCGGGGCGGGTACCTTAATACCCATGTCCCGCCCCACGCCACTACGGGTCGGGGCGGGTAATACTCGCGTGGGTATGGGGCGGGGCGGGTCGACCCACTCTTATATGCTATTTGAAAAAAATACAAGCAAAATTTTACTTTTTACAATAAAACGAAGGGGAAAGACTTCATGAATGAATAATTGTGATAATATAATGGGTAATTGGGTCTATTTAATTGAAAGATCAAGTCTAACTAGTAGAAGAAAAGCCAAAATAGGAGATATATGAATAGATGGTGTAAGAAATTGACCTAGAACGGGCCAAGAATGGGGCGGGGCGGGACAGGGCGGGACAGAAGTTGATACCCATGTCCCGCCCCATGCTACTGCGGGTCGGGTAATACCCGCCCCATCGCGGGTCAGGTCGGGTAATACCCTGCAAGGCGGGTTCAAATTGCCATCCCTAGTTCTCTCGAAAGTTCAAATGGATGGAAATAAGATGTACTTCATTTTTAGAAATAAGCAGTAAGAGTGTTCAAATGGTTACCATGGTTATAACCAAATCAAATAAGGCTAAATTCCATAAACTATGGAATACAATATCATAACCAAATCGTCCAAACTAATACAACAACCAAATTAACCAAACTAAAGTTTAATCGGTTTGGTTAATTGGTTAACCAGATTGACCAATATAAAATCACATTATCATTGACGATGAAAATTTTCCGGTTAATGCAACAATACACAATTTATATAATGAATAAAACATAACAATCAACACTTAGTTATAGTTGACCCTTAACAAAAATACATGCAACTAAGACAATTATCTTACGATTAGTATAGAAGTATTCACCTAACAAAAATTTATGACAATGGTATGGGTTAATGAATTGTTGTGTTTGTGTAAATTGACTTAGGGGTCGTTTGGAAGTTGTGAATGTTAAATCGTTGCATTGTAATGAATCACTATAATACAAATGCATGTATTGATACAATGGATGCATTTTAACAATACATTATTTGGTTGTTGAGATTCAACTTTATGCATTAATTTACATAAAGTTACTTTTATGGGGAAATGCCATATTTACCCTCAACTTTTTGTATAAGACAAAAACTTTTAGAGATATAAATGGAAAGAAAAAGTTTACACAAATCTAAAAGCAACAATCACAACAATCTCAACTTTTCAATGCATCTTTTTTTGTGATTGTTGGTGGGACCTACCGAAAACAATGCATGCATTGTTTTACACTTTGGCACTTCCAAACATTGTATTGTGCACAATACATGTATTCAACAAACACAACTTTAACAATCTCAACTTCCAAACGACCCCTTAGTCTCTTAGCAATTATCATAGGCTGGAAATGACCTTCCTATCAAGTTTTCATCCATCATAATGTATGAAATTTATCTAAATTAGGCATCCATATGTTGTGGTCTACACTTTACATATACAAATATACACTATATGAGCAATATGGGACAGGTTATGGTGATTTCTACAAAGTAGTAATCACCGTGGTTACTAAGGGTAAATTGGGTATGGAAAAATAAATTATATTAATTAATTTTTTAATAAATTACATTTAAGGTAGTTACAAAAATCTATTAATTAAAATTCTCTCTTTCTCTCACTTCCGTAATCTCCAGCCAGATTTCCTTTCCATATCTTTCACAATCTTTCTGCAAAAAAAAAAAAAAAAAAAAAAATCAGTACCAATCCATTAGACAAACACTACCACTTTGAAAAATATCAATACCATTGCAGAAATAAATCTATACCATTGCACGAAAACTACCATTGCAGAAATAAATTTATACCATTACACGAAAACTACCATTCAAGAAATAAAAACACTACCATTTCACAAAACATCAATACCATTCAAGAAATAAAAACACTACCATTTCACAAAACATCAATACCATTGCAGATTTAATCACTACCAATGCGACAAAATCAATACCAATGTAACAAAATCAATACCAATGCGACAAAATCAATACCAATACGACAAAAATAATACCAATGCGACAAAAACTATACCAATACGACAATAACACTACCACTACGAAAAAAATGACTACCATTTAAAAAAAATCACTACTGAAAAAAAAAAGACTACCATTAAAAAAAACATACCATTCCAATGGAATTCCTCCTTCCAATTGCAGAGACGATGGTGAGCGCGACGAGGAAACTACCGGGATTCTCCTCATCCTCCTCGATCCAAACCGTCTCCTTCTTGACGTTGACGTCGTTCCTAATCGTGATGGCGGCGGCAGGCAGGGGAGCGGGGAGCTGAGTGGCCGTCTCCTTCTGATTGCCGCTGCCAGGGGGCCTGCCTCTGCCTCGTCGCTGGATGGTGGTGCCGGGATGAGTGGAGAGGGAAGGCGGCAATGGCAATGAAGTAGTCCCATCTGGTCCGAATTTTCTTAGTCTCCCTCTTTTCCTCTTCACCAACTCCCCAGTTACGCAAATGTTAAAAGGCACCATTGAAGCTTGCTGCTGCTCAATTGGAAAAAGTGAAAGTTAAGGCAGAGGAATACTTGGAGCGGGGAGCTGAGGTTGGCGGCGGGGGCGAGGGGTAAGGGAGGGACGCCATCGGGGGGAGGGAGAGGGGAGGGAGGGACGCCATCGGGAGGAGGGAGGTCCGGTTGGGGTGGTCGGAGGGAGGAGGGAGGAGGGAGAAGACGGCGGCGGTTGTGGGAGAAGGGAGAGACGGCGGCGGTTGTATTAGAGTTTGAGTATAATATATAGAGTAATCAGGTGTGGTATGTTTTTCATTTCCTAAATTACCCTTATCTAATCTTAATCGTTAATTTAAAAATATAATAAAATAAAGATAATGAATGGTATAGATGTTGGTAGCCACCGTGATTACTCAAAATTGAGTAACCACCCTAACCTATCCCTGAGCAATATTGAGCTTTATATTTTATGAGTCTAAAAGGGATAAACGTTAACTCTTGAGTGGTTATGCAAAGTATTAAGTATGTGTATATAATATATGTTAGATATATGACTAATTACTTAACTGGTTAATTTGGTTTGACTACTTAGGAGTGTCTGAAACCAAACCAAACCACCTAAACCAAACAAGCTAAAAACTTTAACCAAACCAAACCAATTATTCAAATTAACCAAACCAAATTATCCAAATAGTACTGGTTAAAACGGTTACCACGGTAACCAAACCGTTTGAACACCCCTAATAAGCAGTTACAGCAGCACTACTATCCTTTCATTATTCTTTAAATATAAAGAGTGGGTACGCTTTATTGCCAAAAACTGCTATTTACTGTTATCATATTTTGGCGTCTTCTGAACGAGCTGAAGAGAACTTCCCCGACTTCGCCAATTTTGCCCGTCCTCCACCGAGATGGCCTTCACCCTTCCGGCGACCATGCTTTCGTACCCTCTCACAATCCCTTCCCTTCACCCCCACTCTCTGAAATCCGCTGCTGCACATCATCTCCTGTCATCTCATCACTCTGTGATACCTCGCCGATTTGACGGTTCCTTGTGGTTGCTTCCATACTCCACCACCCATGTTTTCTACAGTCCTCGCCAGTAGCCTTATTCCTATGGAAGGAGAGAGCGCTTTTCTTCTCTGCCTCCACCGTCTCGGTCTTGGCTGCAACTCATTTTGAAACCCTTTCTCTATGTACTCCCCATTTCCAAACCCTCTTCTCCACCCAGCTCTCTCATCCGTTCTCACCTCTTTTCCGTACCTTCGCACCATGGCTAAGCCGTCCTCTCCAAATTTAAATGGACAGACCAAGCTCCCTCCCTCAAATTGCGCCTCCTGCATACATGGATTGTTGGAAGTCCTTGGCGTCACGATGCGTTCTTGGAGTTCTCCGCATTTTTTCCAGATGAATTGGTGTGTTCCCTCTCCTCTTCCATCGATTCGTCTTCACCGAAACTGGTATGCTGAAAGAGTCGACAAGAATGACTCGCTGGAGGAAAGCGAGAGATGTAAAGGAACCATGGCCGGAGAGGAGGGGCCTTACCTTGGAGGAAGAGGCGGACCCGCTGGTGGCTGGTGAAAACAGCGGTGAGTGAATTTTCTCTTTGCTTTCTCCATCCTTTTTAGTCGTCTAATTGAGATGGGTTATGTCACAAGTTCAGATCTTTGCTCGATTTGACAATGTGTGTTATGATTTTTGGGATTCTGTTCTTTGGTAGTTTCCTCTCCATTTACCAACGAATTGCTTGCCTCCTTGAATGTTGCCTGTAGCTCGGAAAGGGAAGGCAGAGTGTGAGAGTTTTGCGATTGGAAGGCTCGATTGTCTCCAGGTAGAAGGGAACTAGGGAATAAGAAGCTCAACTTTAGAGATTAGGGTTGGGATCGGCTAGGAAGATAAAAAGAAAAATAGTTGGGGACTTGAACGGAGTTTAATCAGTACTTCGTTGCCTAAGAGAATTTCGGATGTCTTTGGATCAACATCTTTTGCATTTCTTGAGTTCAATTGAGAAGCTGGAAAATGGTGAGAAGCATCATCCCTGCCACCCTATTCGAAGTTTAATACGGTTCTAATTCGAGGTTTACACTCAGTTTTTGTTTGGGGAATTTACAGCGAAGTCTTATGTTTGGGATTGAAGGTCAGGCTCGAGTTTTGGGTTTCCCTTACTTCATATCCTTTTGAGGTATATAATTTGTTCTGTGTTCGTTACACGTCTCATAAAAAAATGGTTTGGCATTACTAAACTGACCCGTGTTGCACAACAAATATCTCAACACTAACAGTTATCATTGTTCTGTATGTTCAACCTTAATTATTTAATTGTTAGTTTGCTTATAGGACTCATGCCAGTTTAAAACAATTTTGTTCCTGGTTATTATATATGTCAGCTACTTGCTAATGCTTAATACTAACTCACTTGATTGATTTGAATGATTATGCAGGAGACGAGAAAGATTATGAAATGGTGAGGGAAGTAGAATTTGCCTTTGATGCAAATGAGATTGTTGTCTTCTTGGTTTGTTTCTTAGTTGATCCGTAAATCATTACCTCCCTTTTTCATTGTTGGTGCCCTCCAAGTCTGCTTGCTTACTGGACATTTCCTCCATTCTTTTCACCCACAGAGTTGAAGCTTCTAAAATGTGCTCTTACCTAATAACGCTTTTGCGATTTTACTGGTTGAGCTCAAAATTAGAGCATTGAGAAAGTAGTGGGAGTTGGAGACCTGTATGTCCCTTTTTATCAGCTGTTTTTAGAGTACCATGCAGCTACATGCTCCACTTGAAGTCTGGACTTAATTGCCATGGCTGGCAACCATCTGTTTTGTTACTGTTTATCTGACATTGCCTCTGAATTTGGTGCAGCCTTCCAACCCGTATTTCTTAGAAGAATGAATCTCTCTGACAAGTGAGATATTACTGAAATCTTTTCCTGTTTCTAGAAGCATTGCATCGTTGCTGGGAATGAGAGCAATCTTTGGCCTATGATTTCAGAATTATTTTTATCTTGCATGAAAAGTTGTAGGATGTGTTTTTCATTTTATATGTAATTGATGTTGTACTCCATGTTTGTACCTTTAAGTGTTTCAGTATCCTACTTTACATGTATGTGTCCCTTTAAAAAGTAGGTTCATGACTCTGTTGCGAGAGGAAAGGTCCCGATTCCAACATTTTCACTTGGAAGAGCTTAGGTACTAATGAACTTGGAACTCTCAACGATCTTATGTTCTTCCAATATTTGAAGTTTACTCGATATTTTGTGATTTGTGGAAATTTCAAATTTTTGTCAGATATTGAAGTAGTCTTTGCAGAACGTTCGTGCTGAACCATCTACACCAAATGTGACTCCTGTTGCTAGCTGCTGATTACTTTACGAGAATGGAAGAACGAAAAAAATCTGGAAATGAGATACGAACACATTTGGAATGAAAGAATGAAACAGATCTCTGGCTAAAGTTCTTCCGCCTAATTGACTGTGAGTCACAGTTTCAACCGATGAGAATTAACCAGCTTTTCTTCTTTGTGTCTTTGGGTTGGTTGATGGGATGTATTTCATCAAAACTACCGTTCAGGTTCACTGCATGGGGAAGCCCAGTGTCGTACGATAAAAGTTCTGCAGACTTAAGTTTCAACTGAATGGTCACATTAACTAGTGGCATGTTACATTAAGTTTAAACATGATGGTAGTCATAAAGAAAAAGATGTAGTAACATGTTTGTGTTTGTAGGTTTGGGTGCAGTATAGTCAATTTTTTATTGTGTTGCAGTAAGCATTCCAATTTGACAAGAGATAGATGAGTCAAAATATCAATTTTTCTTCTAATTGATTAATGTATAACATTGTCTGCGGTTGAAGTATTAGTATTTGACAGTGAAAAGTATGACCTGTTATGGGAATTCATACCTCACTTATTGATAGTAGGCTACATTGTCCTTGATTTGGGTTTCCTCTCCTTTCGTTTCCTTTAAGCTCTGATGAAAATCTATGTTTTCCTTACCTGCAGGATATTATGGACATTCAAGAAGCAGATGATGTATGTATAGTTTATGTGTTTGGTATTTGAATGATGACTGACAACTATGCTTTCTCATTTTTTATCCTCCCGTTAAATACACTATGACGTCTATGAATGTAACCTAGCCTGTAATGTCCTTAGTTGTTCAATCAGTTTCAAAAGACTATGCGGGACAAGTGAGTGATTCCTGATGGAATTGGGTTCATGTTCTCTGACTTTGCTCTGGGAATTAGGCTAAAATGCTTCCTTTTTCTTTTTCCATTCTACAATTTTCGATCGCTTTGAACCCCTTTCAGAGAGAGGATCCCACTTTGCGTGTTGGATTGGGTCAGGTTTGTGTCATAAGTCATAACGCTTGCTTGATTCATTATTTTAGGAGAGTAGTACTTAGAATGTACTTGAATGAATTCAGAGAGAATACAAGGTTTGACATTCAATTGTTTTCTCCTCGTATTTCCTTCTTTAGATGGTATTCAGAAGTATGCTCCTTTCCAATATGTGTTTCTTGAAGCTTGCTCATGATTTGCTCAACCTCACCGAGCTCGAGGCAGGAAGGACGCAAAATTACTCCCAATCGAAGGCCATTGAGACAGCCACCACGATGCATCTCTGTCAATTTCTTCAACAAAGAAGGCAATCTGAAACTACAGATACATATCGAGTTCGATCGATCCCTTTATCTCCAAAATGCCTTCGGAAGGACGTATTGATTCGATTCTTTTTTATTTACTTTGCAGCCAGTACCTCGCTCTTTTCCTCAAGCGACAGATTCTGCACATATCAGGAGTAGCAGTAGCAACACAGCAACAACTGCAGAAAATACAGCATCAATCGAGTATGAGCAAGCTACCACAAGTAGAGAAATCACTTATGTTCATGTTTTTCACTGTGATAAGTGAGATAAGTACATCACATGCTTAGTAGAAATTTCCTATCGGAGTTGGTTTGGCGAAGTATGTTATATGGTAAGAGTTGTTCGGATGGAAAAGCTCATGAGTTTAGACTTTTAGATTTCTGGATTATTTATGTTAATTTGCTTTCGAGTGTCTCTTTTGGAAAACGACTATAAAGAGAGTTGAAACTGAAAGCTGCAGATGATGTTGTTGTTGATGTCGTGTGAGCAGACAAAGTAAGGTGTTCCAAACATATGTTGTGTCGTCGTTGATATGCTGATGTTGCTGTTGTTATATTGCTAACTTTTCTGTAGCTATTGTTGTACCATGTCTTCCTTGAATACTTTCAAGGGATGCCACTGCTACATGGAATGCATAGAAAATGAAATGGTTAGATATATAGTTGAACGATACCAATGTCAAGTGGTTCTATTTGGTGGCAATATGACTTCCTTCTTTGTATTAGCCCAAGTTTTAGGGTGCCTATCAATCCTTTTCCGTACAATATTAGTATTCTTTTATATATAATAAAGTCTTAACAATTTTTGTTTTTGTTTTCGTTATACAGTTTTAAAAGATATTTTTTTATTGGATGTCCCGAAAGGATTAAAAGATACTAAACACAGTTAAACATGAAATTGCAACATCCTCCCTGTGGCATAGCCGCAGATATTGTTTCTAGTACAGTATAACAAAGCTTGCAACTACACTCTCAAACAGTTGCACAAATCACTCTTAACTCTGAAGAAACGGAAAGTATCCTGATCTATTTAGAGACTCCTAAAACTCAGAGCTACACATAAGCTGCACTTCTTGCTTGATTTGGCAGAAAACATCCTCCGCCACTCTACTTATCTCCTGGAAAATTCTATTGCACCTTTCCTTTCATACCACAACTACGTACCAATTCCACAGAACTCCAATCATGCTGCTTTGCTTGTTTAATCTACAGAGAGTATATACCATTTCATCCCATTGAGTAGGCCACACTATAGTCAAGAAAATTTTGTTCATAAATTCGTTTGAGAATGAACAGAACAAGTGCTCCCTAGTCTCTGGTGCTTGCTGGCAGAAAGGACAGAGATCACAATCAATGTATCCCCATTCTTTTAATTAGGAACAAGTCTTGATTTTGTGCAAAAGCACAAACCAGGTTACGACTCTGTACTTAGGAACCACAAATTTCCCCCATATTGCCTTGCTCCATTCAACCTTTGGCTGCGTAGGTCTGATGGTTTTAATAATAAATTTTTGCAATTTCTTGCCTTCCCAGCTCACTGAACCATTTTCTTCCTGTTGCATTCAAACCTGAAACTATGGCCTCAGCCATAACAGTTTTCTCCATAGCCAAGAACCAGATTGTGATTCATTCATTTCCCAAATAGAGTGCCCTTTCGGTGTGTGCCTGCATATCCACGCTACCCAGAAAGATCCTCATTGCATCATCAACATCCAAATCATCCTTGCAACATAGGCAATGTTCCAGGAATAGAGATCTCTTAGACCAAGACCCCCTTCTCTTTTAGGCAATAAAATCAGCTCTCGGTACACTTTGGCTCTCCCTATACCTTCACCGTACTAAAGGAAGTCTTAGCAAATTTTCTAGATGCTCTGAATGAATGTCTTTGGCAAGACATAGATTGGCATCCAGTATCGAGTCACAGACAATATAACAAAGAAGATTAATTGAAGTCTCCCTGCATAAGTAAGCTTACTATCCCTCCAAGAACGCACCTTCCTTGTAATCCTGTCTACCAAAACTATACAATCTGCACTTGAAAGGCTACTAGATTGCAAAGGGAGGCCTAGATATTTCATTGACATCTTACACTCCCTGAATCCGTAGCAAGATAGAGCTAGCCTCTTCTCATTATCCCCAACTCCTCCAAAGAAAACCTCACTCTTAGGATGATTACAATTAAGGCCTGATAACGTGTAGAAGCTATCTAGGATCCTTCTAACACTTCCCAAAGAAAATGCATATCCTTCCATAAAGATTAAAAGATCGTCCGAAAAGCTTAGATGTGCTAAACCAAAAGCTTTACATTGGGGATGATAAGAGAGTTGTCTATCCAAAGAAATTTGATCTATGAGTGTTGATAACACTTCCATTGCTAGAGTAAAGAGGGAAGGGATGATAATGGAGTTGTCTCCCCCTGGCTTACCCCCTTTTTAGCTGAGAAAAAACCAAATAGAGGGTCAAAGTGCTGCATCGTTGTCCTGTTTGTCGGGAGGAGGAGACGATGGAACATCTTTTCCTTCATTGTCCGGTTGCGTAATCTCTGTGGATGGCTGCTGGAGTCCAGGACTGGACTGGATCGATAGATTCCACTAATTTTGTCCTTTTCCTACGTCAATTCTTCGAGAGTTCTTCTTCGACTGAGTTGATCTGTAAGATTGTGGCAGTTTTGTGGCGTGTATGCAAAGCACGAAATTGGGTCATTTTTTAGTTGAAACAAGTTCAGTTGGTGGAATTGCATTGTCAACTTAGTCATCAGATTCACGAATGGCTGAGTGCTGCAGTAAGGGTGGACCAGGGAACTCGTGGGAGTCAGGATCAGTATGATGTGTCGAGCAATATGGCTTCGCCTGATGGGATGTTGTGTTCGTTTGACGGTGCTTCATGCAGAGGATCTCATGCGGCAATCGGGTCAGTTGTTCGGGATGACTTGGGAGCAGTGGTTTTGGCTAAGGGGGAGTGACTTCGAGGGAGTTATGAACCCGCTCTGGTGGAGTCAGTAGCCTTGCGAGAAGCCTTCCATTGGTGTGTGGCGAAAGGCCTCACTTCGGTGTTGATTCGTGGAGATGCTAAGGTAATTATCGACCAAAGTCAATGCTGGGAGTGATGCTGATGCTACTGGTGGGGCCATTCTCCGTGAGCTGCGGGCGTTGAGGCAGGAGTATCCTGGGGTGGTGCTACAGTTCGTTGGAAGACAACATAATAGAGTAACCCATTTGGTGGCACGAAAAGCTCTCATATTGTCTAGTGATGTACTTGATTTTGATTTTTGCGCTTGGCTCCATATGAAGTTGTAATTATTTGATCTATTTTTCTTGGTAATGTAAGCTATCTTCGGTTTTTTTTTAAAAGATTGTATTTTAAAATAGATTGGTTTATGAAATGTTAAAATTTTCTTTTATATCTTTTGTTTTTACTATTATATGTTAAAAAATTCCAGTCCCCGCGCCCAAATTCTGTTTCCGCCTGTGCATGCAAGGCACACGATCATCCCGCAGCCTGTATCCACCTGGATCCTTGCCACCAATCCGATAACGGATTAGATAACAGAGAAAGCAGAAGAATCTGAAGTCTAGGGCCAACACCAACTCCTCCAACCAATCATAACCTTCCAACTCAGCTCCCGCCTTATCCCCTTCCTCCTCCCTCCTCCACTACTTTCTCATCTCTTCCACCATAGAATCTAAAGACATCTTCTCCACACTCCCCTCTCCAGCCGAAAAAGCAGAGAAGAAGGTGAAGAAGAAAGCAAAGAGGGGCAAAGAAGAACAGAGGAAATGTCTCTCACAATCCCCACCAACCTCTCCAACCCAATGCTGAAGCTCAACCCCAAGCTCGCCGCCGGCAGCAGCAGCAACTCCGCCTTCTTCCTCCTCCCCAAATCATCACCCCTCTCTCGATCCGCTGCCGTCGTATGCTCTGCCTCTCGAGACAACAACACAGCTGCCGCCGCCGCGTCACCTCTCCAGGCCTTCTCCGCCGCCCTGGCCCTCTCCTCGATCCTCCTCTCCGCCGCCCCTCTCCCGGCCGCCGCCGACATCTCCGGGCTCACCCCGTGCAAGGACTCGAAGCAGTTCGCGAAGCGGGAGAAGCAGTCCCTGAAGAAGCTGGAGTCGTCGCTGAAGCTGTACGCCCCCGACAGCGCCCCCGCACTGGCGATCAAGGCCACCATGGAGAAGACGAAGCGCCGGTTCGACAACTACGGCAAGCAGGGACTGCTGTGCGGCTCCGACGGCCTCCCGCACCTGATCGTCAGCGGCGACCAGAGGCACTGGGGCGAGTTCGTGACCCCAGGGGTGCTGTTCCTCTACATCGCCGGCTGGATCGGGTGGGTGGGACGGAGCTACTTGATTGCCATCAGCGGGGAGAAGAAGCCCGCCATGAAGGAGATCATCATCGATGTTCCCCTGGCTACTGGGTTGATCTTCAGGGGATTCTCTTGGCCTGTTGCTGCTTACAGAGAGTTCATCAATGGGGACCTCGTTGTTAAGGATGTTTGAATCAATGAATGAAATCTGTTAATTTGCCCCGGAATTGATCTTTGTAATTACTCTTTATTCACGCCAAGTGGTAAAGCTGATGGCTTGACATCCAATCAATTTACAGACTTCATGAACTCATGACTTCTTTTTTTGTACGATAAGAGTTCACAGTGCAACTCTGACGCATAACTGAAAGTTGTTGATAGCAAAAATGACATCGAGCATCGTCAATTATGTCCCGACAATCTGACTATCTCCGGCTCTGCGTTCTTACTTTTGGCTCGTCCTGTGGTCTGCAAAAGGCAAAGAAAGAAGATGTAAGCATGGAAGGCTTCTCTCTGGTCTATAATTTTCAAGGCTCTGATAACAAGCTAAACAAGGTTTTCTTCAGCACCTACAAGTCATGTCTATGATCAGCAAGACGTTAACTGGGCTTTCTTAGGAAGCAAAAAGCTTTTGTCCTACCATTTTCTAGCTGACCAAGCATATGCTTAACTTATGCTGCAGCATTCTTGCAGAACATTGTCCATCCTAATTGAAGTTGCAAAACTTGCATAATTAACCTACCTTTTGAAATAGTCTTTTTCACTCTTCATACCAAGACATGACTTCATCTCTTCAATGCTCAAGTTGTCGCCAAGCTTAGATTTTAGTAAGTTGCAACCATCTAAGTATGCACTAGTCTCGTCCATGCCCGGTACTGGTGGTAAGTCTTTGACCTTTTGTCTGAAATGTTCCATTACGACGAACCCTGTGTCAAGCGCAACTGGGAATGAGTAAATAGGGAAATAAAGGCCAGGCCTGAAATGCACTCTCATCAATAAGATCGACCAGTACTCTCGATAAGAATAACACAGGGAAACAAGAATAGCAAACTGTCGTATTATCATCACTCCCAGCAACCAGGGGAGCCAAAGTTTTCTCTCCTCCAGATACTTGTTGGATTTAGACACAAACTCATACATATAGTACTGAGAGGAGAATTAAAGTTATGAAACATGCATACCATTTGTTTTGGTTTGTTATCTCAACTGCATAACCATGCAAGGAACCAAAGAGGTAAACTTCTAGATAGCAAGACAGAGAGATGTAGTAGACAGAAAGAAGGGGGAAGAAAGAAAATACCGATTGCTCGGAGCATCTTCAAGTCAAATTTCTCTGCCAGTTCCACATGACCAATAGCCTTTGCCCGCAGAATCACCAGCTTTTTCAAGCTGATTAGTAGATCCTACCAGTGGCAAGACCATCCTATTAGCTGGTTCTTTCAGTCATGTGTAAGCTAGATTAAATCCACAAATTGAATGGATCCAGTAACCGAAAAGAGAAAGCAACAAATTAAGTTTCAGTCTCTATACAGCTCGAACATGAAGGGATGCACTTACAAGCTCAGACTCGGAGAGGGAACATATCCAACTCACATCTTCAATCCTGTTATTCCCTATGACTTCATATAGGTCATCCATCGATGGAACTCACGAATTCCCTGATTCTCCACAACAACCTGGAAGATAGGGGATCGAGAGAGTGTTGTTAAAAGCTTATTGCAGAAAAAATTCGGAATGAACACCTCCAAGAGAAGGCATGTGCTTCTTATTCAGCTGTCCATGAAAATCTAGAAACTCACGAGTAAAACTAAAAACTGTATGAACCACGTACATGCCAATATAATCAAACCAATGAAGCTCCAATTCTCCTCCAGAACAAAAGCATAAACTTTATACTTCTATGTTCATATATTTGAGGTTTGGTAAGGGGATCCACAGTAAATCTACTACTACTAGCTCGTACAACTTACATACAAAACCCCCTGAAATCACAAACTCTTAAGAAGTATTGTAATTCAATGTCTACCAACAGCGACGAGAGGAGCAAAGATAGGTTAGGTATAATTTGACACATAAGCTGCAACAGAGCATTCAGCTGAAAACGCAGCTATCATTGTTGACACCGGAAGCTGCAACAGGGCAAACAATCGACACTCCCTAGAATCAGTAACTAGAACGTGGGATGCGACCGATAGCTCATGAGAACATGAGATTCCCAATCGTAACCAATAACCCAGCTAAAGAAAGATGAATCCCTAATCGTAAACAATTTAAAAGAGAAATAGGAACGAAGCGGTAGAGTCTATCGTTGAAGATTGGAGGGAAAATTCGATTCATTGGATGCTTTAAGCGGCCAACAAAAAACAGGGCATTCCCGGTCCTCCCTTTCGCCATTGACGATGATGAATTGGGTGGACCGATGTATGAATACACTGAAGGAAGCCAAAATTTCTGGAGTGCGAGACTAACCGAGAGGAGGAAGACACCAGGTTCTTTACCCGGTGGGCAAATGGGCGGAAGAAAGAGGACGACCGAGAATTCGAAGGGTTTGGTACAATTCGACGGTGACTTGGAGGACGGCGGCTGACGGCGTGCGAGGCAGCGCGCGAAGGGAAAGAAGAGGTAAATTGGGCCCAATTTTTAAGCTCTTCGCTGCCTTAAAAAAAACAAAAGTAAAAAACCTATTAGATCCGGGTAAGGGAAACCCTAATGGCGCTCGCTTTAAACCCGGTTTGGCTTTGAAGTTCAAACAAAATAAAACCACCGTCTGTAACCTCTTCCGCGAAACCAACCACTGCCGCGCCGTTCCTCCCCCGCCCCCGTTTCTTTTTCTCCGTGCAGGACCAGCAGCGCCGCCATATTCTTTTGGACTTGAAATAGGTGAGAGAAGGAAAGAAAGGCTGTAGAATCGTTTATCGCCTTCGATCAAGGGGAATCATGTAAGTACTACTATCATTCTGTGCAACTCTCTGAAAGTTTATCCCTTCCCTTTTAGCCCGTTGTATCCCTACTCCCTGCAGTTAGCTACCTCTTCTACTCGGTTGCTTCTATTCACTGGTCGCGCCACTTAGTCTTCTGAATATCACTTCTATTTGTTCAATTATCAACCAGTTGCAGTTTCCTTTCTCTGAACAGCGAGCTTAGTTGAATGAAGATGATATGTCAGTTCGAACTAATTTGGTGTTTGCAATTACAAGACCTTGCCACTGTATTTGGAAAAGATGCGACATTTATATAATGGACATACTATTTCGACTGGGGTGGCAGAGTGATGATGGCAATAGCCAGTTAGTTAGTGTGGCAATGGCTAGTTCAGCTACTCTGCTGATGATGGATGTAGCTAGTTTGGCATATCGAAATGAGCCAACTGCTCTGTCAAAGGCCGGAATTCGTTCGGTGAATGGTTATTGTCTTTGCTAGAATCTACTGAATGATTGTCTTTATGGTATCCCTAAGGAGATTGACAATTCAGATTTCTGAAAACCAGGAGGATCACTGAACACAGACAACCGGGTTACAGTTGGAAATATGGTCGTGATTGTGTTGTTAAAATTGTATGTATAATGATGGTCATGTTTAATTTTGTCAAACCTAAGCAAACAACTAATCCTGTTGACAGTATGGTTTTGCTAGCATTATGTTTTGACAACATTGTGCCAGGATGCTCATAATGTGTGTTAAATATTATGTGTTCTTTTACGCTTCTCATGTGCTTATATCTTTGCTTGCCATGTATAGGTCTCGAATATGCGTGAAGAACTTGGCAAAATATGTGACGGAAGATCAATTGCGAGAGCATTTTTCTCTAAAAGGAGACGTAACAGATGCCAAGCTAATGCGGACCAAGTACTACTTAATTGTTAATTATAATAATAATGGTGATTGTTGATTCTTGACAAGAATAACAATGGTGATTGTTTGCCCTTGACAAGATTAGCATTTTCTTTTATCATGAAAAATAATATTTGTTATGATTCTTCCTCTGTCATCTTTTTTGCAGAGATGGTAAGAGCAGGCAATTTGCTTTTATTGGGTTCCGCACAGAATCTGAAGCTGAAGAAGCTATAAGACACTTCAATAGGTCTTTCCTCGGCACATCAAGAATTGAATGTGAGGTTTGTATCCTCGACTTACTTCTTATTCTCAAGTGTGACTGAAAGTTCCTTTTCTACGGGAACCTCATATTCTCATGTATAGTCTGAATGACCTGTTATTATTAGAACATAGTGATCTTAATCATCACCTTTCTGAACTTACCAAAAAAAGGATATCATGTTTTTTGTGAGTGACTGTTGAATGGCAATGGATAACTGGGCTAATCATGGCGCCCTGTTGATGGGGCTAGCATGGGCAAGGATTGTTTGTTTATCTCAGGAGGCTTAGGGGCTTTAGGTGAATGATCAGCTGAAAGAAACAAAGAAATCAAAGTCCTCATTTTCTTTTTTGCCCTTCACATTATATTGGGTGCCCCAAAGTGACTAGTATTTACTTGGTCATCATATGCTGATTACTTTCTGATTTAAAGAACAAATCATTCATTTTCTTTGTTTCAGATTGCCCGAATACATGGGGATCCAAACATTCCTCGTCCATGGAGTCGTCATTCATTGAAGAAAGATGGAGAAGTAACTGCAGAGGAGAACAAAGTTCCAGGTGCTGTTAGTTCGAAGGTTAAGGGTTCCACAGTGGATGCAAACCATGATAAGGAAGGCAACAATACTGATGATCTGCAACTAAGGGAATTTCTTGAGGTCATGAAACCACGTGCTAAGTCAAAATTGTGGGCAGATGACTCTCTTATTGCCGCAACAGCTGACCAAAGTGGCAAAGTTGGGAAAAAGCCAAGTCAAAAGGAGAAAGGCAACAAAGAAAAGCCAGTGTCTCTGGATGTTGAGTTAAAGGAAAGTGCCTCTGAAAAGCCGAGTATAATTTATGAAGCAGACGTCTCAGATATGGATTATTTTAAAAGTAGAATGAAGAAGCATTGGTCAGATTCAGACAGTGATAGAGATGATGGTGATTTGGATGGCGAAGGTCATGGTGATGATGATGTCAGAAGTTCACCTAATCAAAGTCCTAATAAGAATAATGATCCGCGAGTAGATAAATTCTCTGAAGATATAGACCCAGCCGAGGTAGAAGAAGGAATCCCTCCCGGAGGATTCAATGACAAAACTGTTGACACTTCTTCGAATTTTCAAGATGAGGATTTTGAAGCTGGTCGGTTGTTTATAAGAAACCTATCATATTCAGCAACGTATGCCACCGACACATCCTTAAAGTGATATCATGAAAAACTTCAATATGTTATTTACTTCCGCTGCTCATGTGTGATTTACTATGTTTTCCTTTTATTTAGAGAGGACGAACTAGAAGAACACTTTAGCCAGCTTGGAGACACCTCAGAGGTTCATCTTGTTGTTGACAAGGATACAAAGCAGTCAAAAGGATTTGCATATGTTCGCTATGCACGTGCAGAATCTGCAGCTAGGTATTACTCCTGCCCTGAATCCTAAACTAGCTTCCGCTCAAAATGTATAACTTTGTGCTGGTAAATTCTTACTAGACTTAAGATTGTTCAGTGTTGAATTCGAACTTCCGTAGCAGAATATCCTACTTATGGTCTCCTCCTGTCTGTTATGTTTTCTTTTACTTTCTTCTTCGCCAAGCAGATTCTTGGTTGTTTTTCATTAAAGTATGTCCCTTTTTGTTGTAAGGTTTGTTCACTTTTATGATTTTCTTAGTCAAAATAGTCTGTTGGTACTTAATGTACATCCAGGCATTACTTTGGTTTCCATTTTGGCAAATGTCTTGAAGTGCTAGAGCCTAGAACCATTATTATAATTATTGCCTCTAGTCTGATTCTTGATCAGTTTATCTGCTTCATTCTTCTCATAATATTGACTAATTGCAAAGCTGTTGTACAGGGCATTGGAGGAATTGGACAAAACAATTTTCCAGGGCAGGTTGTTGCATATAATGCCAGCTAAAAAGAAATACACAGCTGATAAGGAAGAGTAAGCAGAACTATCCTTTTGGTCCCTTATTCCTTTAACCACCTGATTTTTGCTAAAGATATAAGCTTTCATAAACACATGTAGGCTTGGTGTTCACCAAGACCAAGGTTCAAAAACCCTAAAACAGCGAAGGGAGGACCAAAAAAAGGCAGCTGAAGCCGGTGGAGATACGAGAGCATGGAATAGTTTGTTTATGCGTTCTGATACAGTATGTGGTCACTGGATACCAATATATCTTTTCTGATTGCCAAGTTTTGACGCCTGCATCCAGGGGTGCATTTTCTCTATTTGGCTTTACCTAGTAGCAGAAGAGGCCTAAGAAAGTTGGATGTAAGCTCTACTTGAAAACAGCATTCAACTTCTCACTGCAGAGATGTGAGGATGAGGTTTTCAGTGTAACTTTGGTAAACTTACATGGTAGGCCCTAGGTAGACACTACATAATTTCGTAGGGAATGGGAGTAATGTAAATGTCGTGGTTCTTTAGCATAAGCAGATTATGAGATGATGTCGAGCTTAGGAGGGTCAATGGGATGTTCCACAGTCCTCACTCCTCAGTAATTGGTTAATAGGACATATAAATATGCATTTTCTGAATATGTGGAAGCTTGACCTGCCGGTAAGTTAAACAAGGACTTCTGATATATTGATGGAGCCTTTGTCTCTGGCCATATATGTCGTGGCTGGTTAATGAGCGAGGACCAAAATCTTCTAAATTCTGAAAAGATTAAGTTTTCAGTTAGTGTTCACTGGAATTAGCAGTGGAGGAAGCATGAAATAACACTGTGTGTTGTAGACTTAAATTTACAGGAGCTTTCTTGAGACTTGCGCTGTCCTACAAAATAATATATGGTAAAGTCTGCTAGGTGTCTAACTTACAATATCTTTAACATGCTTCAGGTTATTGAGAACATCGCCAGAAGACATGGTATTAGTAAAAGTGATTTGCTTGACCCAGAATCTGATGATCTTGCTGTACGCGTTGCTTTGGGAGAAACTCAAGTAATTGCAGAGACAAAAAAGGCTCTTGCGACTGCTGGAGTAAATGTAAAATCTTTAGAGGAAATTGCTGCTGGGAATACTGATGGCTTGAAAAGAAGCAAACATGTGGTTCTAGTAAAGAACTTGCCATATGGCTCTTCAGAAGGCGAACTGGCTCAGATGTTCGGGAAATTTGGTATTCTGGACAAGATTGTTCTTCCTCCGACAAAGACAATGGGCCTGGTATGTGAGAGGGCTATAGCATCATTGGATTGGGTAGTTATTTTGTTGGAGTCTTTATAAGCTTTCAAATGCTCATCAGATACCATGTTAATGAAGTCATATCCCATGGTTTAAACACTGTTACTATCTATAGTTGCCAATTTAATCCATCATTTAATGACCAGTAGTTTTCCCAAAAAGATAGAATAACAAGTAACGATTCCTAGTCCTTAGTTTTATGCAATCATGATTTCTACCAACTTACTGTAACTCGCCCAACCACCAACATTAGTATTAATCATGCCTCAAATTTATCTCTGCTACTTATTTTGTTGTGCAATTGATTCATATAACTCAGTGCATTACCATTGTATGGGGAAATTGACACATATCTAAGCCGTAAGAGACATCAGATTAGGATTCGTAACGTGTGTGCTGTGCTTACTGCATCCAAGTCTTATTGTTTCATGATGCTTCATGTTTCATGATGATTCAGGTTGTTTTTCTCCAACCTTCTGATGCACGCACTGCTTTTAGAGGCTTAGCATACAAGCGTTACAAGTGAGTTCATCTTTCAATCTCTTGATTAAAGTTAATGGCTATGCTGATGCAAGATGAAGGCTGTCTTGGTGCTTACCATCTTGCAATGTTTGTGTTGGGAACTTATCATCATTTCATTGTCTTAGGGATGCTCCACTTTATCTTGAGTGGGCTCCAGCCGATATTCTTAATCCAAGGTCGACCTCTAAGGATGATCAACCGCGTAATGCAGCTGCTGATCAAGATGATGTCAAAAGGGTGATGCTGGAGCAAAGTGTTGAAGGAATATCTGAAGCTGATATAGACCCTGACAGAATTGAGGTTTTTCGTTTTATGCGATGTTTCCTTTTCCTTTTATGCTCCCTTTTCTATTCCATATCAAAACACAATATACAATTTTATTGATTTTAGTAGTATTGCATGTGTTGCCAAGGCTTGTGTCACTTTCTTCTGCTTGTTTGTGAAGCACTTTCATCACTTTCTTGAGATGACAGATAAAATTGCTGTATAATGGAAGTACATAATGTTGGTTCCAAAATGCCTTTGAAATGTATTGTTACTTTATTCTGATTTTTTGTTCTTGGGCTGTCAATTGTGTTTTAGTCTCGGTCTTTATATGTCAAGAACCTGAATTTCAAGACATCCGATGATAGCTTGAAGCAGCACTTCAGCAAACTCATGAAAGAAGGCAAAGTGTTAAGTGCAAGGGTAATTATCTTTGAGAGTCTTACTGGTAGCATTATACCTTCGACACTATTTGTGCTCTTAGACCGGTTTTCTTCATCGTCTGTAGATAAAGAAGCACATAAAAAATGGAAAGAATGTTTCTATGGGTTTTGGTTTTCTGGAGTTTGACTCGGTGGAGACAGCAACAAATATTTGCCGAGATTTGCAGGTAATGTTTATTCTGAGTGCATGGTATTTTATCTGATATATAAAAGGAGTACATTGCCTCTGTCACATGGCTCTGCTCTTAAATCCATAGTCGTCGTGCATTTCATAATTATAGGCATGTAAACCAATCATGATGACAATTCACCACGCAAAGTACTCTTATTTAGTCATTGAAATTAAAATAAATATTCCCCCTTCAATTTGGGTTTTGGTATCTATATCTTGATTGAATAAAAATGTGATCCTTTCTCCTTTCCTCGACCCACCTATTTGTATGTATGTATGTATGTATGTATGTATGTATATATGTACGTACGTTTGCATGTTCTTTACTTCTGTTGCATCTACTTCTTTTGCACCGACATTTGGTTGAATCTTCTTATGCTATTAGTTCCTTTTAGCGTAAACTTATATGACCTAGGTGGTCTTATTATAATCGTATACTTTTTTGCATCCTTATTGTATCAGGGAACAGTTTTGGATGGCCATGCACTCATCCTGCAACTTTGTCACACAAATAGGGATGAGCACATGACCAAAAAGGTGGAGAAGGATAAAAGTTCTACAAAATTACTCGTGAGAAATGTGGCCTTTGAAGCAACAGAAAAGGATCTTAGACAGTTATTTAGCCCATTTGGCCAGGTAATTAATTGATTTTCCTGTGAGCCGGCTGTTGAAGCTAAATTGGAATCCCTGCCATGTTAGCTCATAATAATAAGTATGCCATGAAAAGCTGAAGCAGTTTATTTGAAACGGTTTTCAAGTAAGAACAGTTAACATTGCAGTGAATTAAATGAAAGTTGTGGTGATGGGACAACTTGGTGATTGAACTTCTTAATAGACATGTAAGTGCAGTCATTATGCAGGGTCATCTGCAGATGCTCTGGAAGCATTAGATTCTGCTAACAAACTGAGAAGCTTCTCCATTTGTTTGTGCTAATCTTTATCTGCTTGACGTTTCTTTGTAGATATGTAGTAAAATCATATTTCTGTCCGCGGCTACATTTTGAAAGAATATTGAAAATTGTCAGGTCCTCGACCTTCCTGTCATATAGGACCATAAACTCAGACAAATCCCAGTCGTTTTGATACCCAGTTATCTCTTTCTCCTCCTGTGGCTGTGGTTACAAGTCATTATCAGTATGGGTTAGCAATAATGATTTCATATGATAGAATTGTAAATAGTACATGTTAAGTGCGACATAATTGGATCTCTGGTTTCTGTTATCTGAACTTAAATTACCAACTTGTTACTTGTTCACTTTTACCCTTGCCGCAGTGAGTATAGCTTTGACATTGCTCTTCTCTAAGCCCCCAGAATGGTTGACTCTTGAAAAATGCAGATCAAGAGCTTGAGGTTGCCAAAGAAGTTTGGAAACCACCGAGGGTTTGCTTTTGTGGAGTATGTTACGAAGCAGGAGGCTCAAAATGCACTTGAAGCGCTCTCCAACACTCATTTGTATGGTCGACATTTGGTAGGTTTGCCTGGAGCAATGATTGACTTACCATGTTCCTGCCCTGCTTCCTATGGGAGTTTAAAAGCTGGATAAACAATTGCATTGAAACCGGCTGTTTTATTATTAACTTGGCAGATTCTGGAGAGAGCAAAGGAAGGAGAAACACTTGAAGAGCTACGGGAGCGAACTGCTGCTCAGTTTGCTGACGAGCAGAATGGATTCCGCGCCAAATCAAAGAAACGGAAAAACATGGCCATCTTGGATGAAGGAACCATGAAATTTCAACGGGTCGCAGACTAATTTTCTGACAGCACTGCCAAGCTTTGCAGGGAATGATCCGCCGTATGTCCGATTTAGTTTGCACCACCAGCCCATTTTTGTTTATCACTAGGAGCTGGTCTAGTATGAAGGAACCATGAAGTTTCTGGTTCATGTAGGGAAGCGTAAAATTAGACTCATGTAACATATTACTGCCTCTCTTCATTACCACAACAAACATATGAAGGGACATAAATTTGCAGATTCGTATTTCAAAATGCGACTATCGTTTATGTCTGTGTATGTGTAAAACGCATGGAAGATGGGGTGATCGAAAGCAAAGGCAACAATTGGCCTGAGTTCATCCCAGCTCCCATCTTCAAAACTCTCTGCCTGCTGCTCTCACCTACGTTGGTTCGAGAAGCTACTGTGGCATTGGTGATGATATTGAATAGCAGCCATGGTGGTTCCAAGCCAATGACTTGGGGAACAGTTACATTCACTAGTTTCTCTCCCAACAGCTCATGGAAAGCAATGGCTGTCACCAGCTGATTCAGAAGCAAACTTCAGTTGCTTCTCGGATCAGACCACAGACGTTCATACCAAGAACCTCTCTGTAATTCTGTTCGTATTGAAGGGGCCAACTGATTTAAGTATACTACTGCTAACTTACTGCTTCGAAACTGTTGCTAGGTGGGAGATGTAACTCGTGCATCATCCAACCGGTCCTAGTGCCTTTCCTGGCGCTTCCCTTGCAGTAAACTTCGCCGAATCGTCAATCACTCATTCTCTTGACTTGTTGTGCCAAATTGCACCCTCGATCTATTTGCTCATAGTCGTGATTACTACGTCACGGTCGTGATCTTCTCACAGTTGGAATCCTTCTTAACCGCAAGTCAGGTCCATTTCTGTGTTGGAAGGTGCATCACAGTCTGGAGGTCACGGTTGTCACCGATGGTCGTGACCAATGAATGTATTCCTCGTATTTCAGAGATGTCTAGACGCCTATTGGCTATTGGTAAGCCTTTCGTGTACATTCTTTTATGAGATTGAAGACAAGGTAATGCCTATGCCCTTTTTCATCTCCATGCAATCTTCGGTTGAAGACTCCATCTCGCTCTTCCGGAGGGGATAATTGTGTGCTTGGGGTAGTTGGATTTGGATCTCGTGGAGGCTCATGTTTTCCGGCTTCTTACATTGTAGGCTTGTGTTGTATTTTCTTGGTGTTCCCCTTCGTTGAGCCAGAAGCGGCCGTGGTGCAGAGGAGACGAAAGAAGATAGGATTTTGGCATGTTAGTGTTGTTAGGGGGTTCTCCGTAGGGGTGGGTCGGGTGGATTTTGACCATAAAATGCACCGACCCGCGTTTAAACGGATTGATAATTTTTAACCCACCATCCACCCATATTTAGTCTCGGGTTGGGTCGGGCGGATGGTGGATGATGCGGGTGGGTTCGTGGGTTCACCAACATTACAATGAATATAATATAAAGGAGTCAAGTTGACATGATAATAGGTGAAGAGAATCATCTAGGGAAACAAGAAGTTGAAATAGGGCGAAAAATGTCGAATTAGTTCCTAAATTGGATAGAAATTCTATTATGAAAGAGTTTTCTACAGATTGAGACGATTATTAGGTGCAAGGAATTAAGAAAAATAATTCGACAAAGGAAAGAGCGGTGATCTAGGCACAAGAATTAGAGGAAAAAGTAAAGGGAAGAAGAGGGGGTCTCTATTTGGAAGGTTGGCTTTGAGGTTCAAACTCCAGGAGCAGTCCGAGTTTATATCTAACGTCTCCACTCTCATCTCTCTCGCGCCAACGACTTTGATCTTTTTGTTGTTGGGTTGAGCGGGTCACCCGCACACTCACCCACAACCCACCCACCACCCTGCAGATGGCTCCAGCGCAACCCGTCACCCACCCACAGACCCACCCACTTAACGAAATTCGGGTCAAATGCGGGTGGGTCGGCCCAAACCCGCGGATGATCCGCCCGCATGCCCAGCCCTAGTTCTCCGTGTGGAGTTTGGGTTGTAGTCCTCTTTGTTATGTTTGGCCGTTTAATTGCTTTTTTGCATTCCCTTTTACTTTCCATGGATTTTGTTAACCCACTTGGCCCTGTTACTATTCAATGGAACTCAAGTTTGTTACAAAAAAAAAAAAAAAAGAACATTACCAAAAACACCTAACAAGCATTAAACATGTCTAAGTGGCCTGATTTCCCACGAAGAACCTCCATCTCAACCTAACTCATGCCAAAACTCATAGTGTGTGTATATGGACGCTTCTTAGCGTAAACAAGCTTACAATGTGCCCTAGGCACAGTGATTTAGCAACAAATGTGTGAATAATAAAGGCCAAATAATAGCAATTTAGGTGTTATCATCTTCTTATCGATAAAACTTGGAACTTGTGTAAAATAGTGTGTGGTGGTATATCCCCCTGGAAAAAAATTCAACATAAGTTGGGTACGTACGGCTGTTCCGGCAGAACCTAACCTCAAGCCTCTTTTCAGTTAAACTAAACAACCAGTCTGAAAGAAAGATTCACCTCGGTAAAAACACTCGTTCAAACATCTCTGTGATAGGGCTTCTTATCTTCTTATATATAATTTTTACTCAGTTCATGAGTTATTGTTAGAGAGCTCCAGTGTCAGAGAGCTCCAGTGGACTTTCTTGTCCTCGTCAATAGGCTTGATGTGTGCTTCCTCCTTTTGAGCATAAATTCTAGACACATAAATGTGGATTAAGGATGGATTATAAGTTATAACACTATTATGCTATCATAATGTGTCATCGAAATGCCTCTGTGCCATTCTCGGTTGGTATTTTTATTAACAATTGAGATGTGAATATGATCACTTGGAACTTATCCAAAGCCGGTGGTCTGAAGATAACTTTGCATGGGAAGGGGCAATAAGTAATATGGAACTCAATGGGGGTAGGTTAGACATCAACATGTATTTTCATATAGTCACATTGTCGATGTAGATTCCTTTGTCTTCACTTAATTTCTAGACAAACCGACCAGAGAGGTCTTAGTTTGTCTCATGGAATACCCCGTCAGTAAACAAATTTGGTCCAACCAACACCTCTCATGGAATACTCTTCGTCGCATTTCGGCTATTAGCGTCAATGCGAGGCTTTATTCGCATAATATGGGTTCTCGCACACCTGGTTTTCTGAATCTTAACCGTCGAGGTGAATGGAAATGGTGGAGCTCTGTTCATGGTGACGTTCACCTCACCCATCGGTTTCGGCCTTTTGGGCTCACCATCAACCTTCATCTTTAGCTTGCTTGACTCTTCCCGCAATACCCTACACATGAATTGTCGGGAAGAAAGATTAGCGATAATCGAGGCGCAGACATGAACTTGCCCCTCGGTCTAAAATTGGCGGCGCCTTTCTAGATGGCAGACTCAAGATAAGGTGGATGGCAACGACCGGCACCCTTCGTATCTCTTTGTTGCAATTGTCTTGTTCATGTTGTTCTCGTTCTTTCTCATAAAACTTCTTTCAATATCACCAGCTTGTAAGACAATCACATGCTACTCGCTACTCGCTCCTCGCTACCTTCCATCTTCATCCTCCTGAGTGACCAGCGTTCTTGAGGCTTCAATGGCTCAAGGTTTGAGATAGGATTACTGGTAATGGGGAAAACACAAACGACTTTGGATGAAGTAGTGAACATCAGCTTTGGCGCAACTCCAGCCTTGGTCGTCACGAGATCATTCTCTCTTGGGACGATGACGTTCTTGTAGATGACGGTTCAAAGTGGAGCAAAGATTATCTCGATCCGACTTTTGCAACAACCCTGTCTTCTTCGGCTGGTAATGGTTGATGGTAACAGCAATGGCAAGGGCGGCTGTTGGAGTGGTGGCGACCGTTGGTGGAGCTGGCAGAACGGTAGTGACCAACGTCACACGCAACTCATACTCGATCTTCACAACAACAGTTTTTGGTGGTGTTGGTGTTTCTTTTTTGTCAGACGGCTCTGTAACATCCCGTTACGGCAAAACCCATATTTCGATCGCTAGAAAATTTCACGATTTAAAATCGAGCATTTCGACACTATTTTCACGAAAATCGGATTATCGATCGATCGGATAAGTATACATATTAATTATATAATTATATAATATAATATTATATATATATATATATAGATAATACACTGTCCATTTATTTCCCCACGCGTCCCATTTTCTTTCCATCATCATCGTTGCATTCTTTCTTTTCTGGACCGAGAGAACTGGAGCAGAGGGCGCGCAGGGGAGGTGAGCACGGAAATTCTCAGAGCTCAAATCTTAAGTTTTAATGATCCAAAAATCTCGTAAGTAATGTCTAATTCATCCATACATCGTGATTTATCGATTTAGAGCTTTAAAACGAGTTTTTGGTTCAGGAATTTCTTGAATTCCCGATAAGCCAAATTAGGGTTTCGGAGTATCCGGAAGCCGGATTGAGCCCAAATTTCATATACGAGCTTCTTGCAGCGAGGTAATCAATCCTCTAGTTCTAATCCCTGAATTTCGGCTATTATTTAGGCCGGGGTCCAAACCGCTGAATTTAGATCCGGCCAGGGTTTGATGTGTTTTTATCAAGAATTTGACCCGGCGCCGAGAACTAATATTGACGGGGATACTGTAGGGGATATTAGGACGGTCTCGGATTTTAATTCAGGGTTCGTTCGTGAAATTGACGTTTTAGTACGGGAAGGTTAAACCGGTGTTTGAACGACCAGAACTGGTGAGGGATTAGCACGGCATACCGGGTTTGTCGTATCACGATAATTATATTGATGCTTAGAATTGATCTAGGTGAACTAGAATGGCATGATTAGGGGTGTATGAGCTTTTGTGCTATTTGTTGAACCCTGGATTGCTGTATGATATTATTGACTTGCCCTAATCGATATGAACCTTGTTTATGCTGATGATTGTATATATGTTGCAAATTGTGGGCTGGACTGTTAATATGCTTTATGATGGTTCGAGAAGGTGATTAGGTATGACTTTTCATGATTGTTGTATTTGGATGCACAAGTGGGAAAATATATATTCCCTGGTGATATTATGATGTTTAAGGAGGATGACTTGCACGAGGGTTTATCCCGAGGAAGTGCAATTATACGACTCCTGATTTACCTATGTTGAGCCAATTGTGGCCTGGTCAAGTACATGTGCAAGTAACGAATTATGATTAAGCAAGATGAGATAGAACCATGTATAAGGATACCAAATATGAGTGTTGTGGTCTCACGGTCAACTACATAGTAATTAGGGCTCCCTATGCTATTACTCTATTATGATATGTATGATAGTCACACCTCTCATGTGGTGGTGACTGAAGAATTCTCACGAGATATGACCACACCCAGAGTGGTGTCGGGGTATGACTACACCCATAGTGGTGTGGGGTATGTATGACCACATCCGACGGGATGTTGGGGTATGTATGACTACATCCGACGGGATGTGGGGTATGTTTCCCGGGAGAGTTATTAGCATGGGAGTAGCCAGGCGCCTATAAGTAAAACATAATAAGATACATATGCATAAGTCAAGGTGGTTGAGTCTTTTGCCTATTGGGATGTCGGAGGGCTGAGATCTGATCCTAGTGCTTTGGCTTGTTTGCTAGATGTATGGTAGTGGTATGCTATGTTATGAACTCACGATGCTATGATTATCTCACTCAGCTATGAGCTGACCCTCTTTTATTCTTCTTCTCTACTTATGCTATGTGTAAGCAGATCATCAGCAGCAGTAGATAGGTGTATAGGTGGGAGTTGAGCAAGAGTTGAAGGCAAGATGAGGTATGGTCTTCAACCATTCTGTGCTTGGACTACTACTCGGGATTTTGGCCAGTGATCCACACCTTTTTGTAAAAATGTTGAGGACGTTTTTCATGTGCATACTAGCTTCTGATCTAGTGTGAGATATCCACAGGTGTGGAAAGTTGATGATATGTGTATATGTTGTGTAACTGTGTAAGTTGTGACGATTATGGTATGTATAAGTATAGTATGCAGTTGTGTAGTATGAAACTGTGACTATGGCTATGAAAAGTCAATGCATATGGTTGTGAGTATATGTGTTTGTCTATGAATGCATGGATTCAGATGAATTATTTTGCAGGATCATATGGAAGAACTGTTAGCCCATTACGCGAGTAATTCATGTCGAAATTTTATTTAGGTAAAATTTGATAATTAATGTAACACCCGAGATTAATTCCGCTACAATTGTATGAACAATATGATTAGGCAAAACGTATAGGGTAGGGTGTTACAGGCTGCCCCGTCAAGGGCTCATCAACCTTCACCTTTTTCTCGACTAGTAACGCCCCACCCTAGTTATTTTTTAGCTTAGCTAAGGCTTGGATGAACTTGGCGTTCAACCTTCCAAAAACTTAGTCGAGTTCCATGATTGAGAGTTCAAATCTTGACACAACTCTGGTACGGATGCCTACAATACATGGAAGAAAAAAAGAGACCACACTGTTTCGTCCACCCAGAGACCACAATGCTTCTCTGTAGGAGCCACTTCAAGGGTTCATCGATAAAGGTGAGGGGACAATAAAGAAGGAATGAACAAAGTGAGAGAGAAACAAAAATCAGCATGCATCCACATTCGGTGCGATTCCCATCGCAAACAACCCTCCGTCAGAGAGAGTCGCCGAAAGCCATAAAAAAACGTGCCTAAATCAGATTTGCCCACTCACAAGGAAAGAAAGGAAGGCAAGCAAGCACACACCAGGGGAGCAGCCAATCAGAGGCCAATGAACAGAGAAACTGAGTCCAAATGAACAGTCATTTGTGTCCGTGTGTACCAGGCTATGAGGAGTAAATGCCCAGAGATATCTAATAGATTGAATGGTGAAAACCATTGAATTAAATGCATCATTTTATTAAAGATTAGCGAGTAACTGTGGGATGAGCAAAAGTTGATGTGGCATAATCTTTGTCCAAAACAACCATAATATAAGTTAAGATGCAATGGATAATAGTTTGTGAAGTAATGGATATTGTGTCTTCCATCAAAACTAAAAACACTATCAAGTCCTAACACATAAGGCTTGTAACCTTAGTTAGGGCTGCCCGTCGAGGGCCCATAGGTCGAAGCCACATGAAACCATAATAGTAAGAGAGTGAGTGTCTTCCAGACCCTGATGTCACTACCGGAGGATTCATCTTTTCGGGTTTATGATTTAGTGATTAGGGTTTAGTGATTATGATTTAGGATTTAGTTTTTATGGTTTAGTGATGAGGGTTTATTTTTTATGGTTACGGGTTTAGTTATTAGTCTTGTGGTCATGTATTAAACTGGGTGGTGTTTGTATTGGTTTTGCAATGAATGGATATTAGTTTAGGTGGTTCGGTTATTAGTTTTGGTTTGAATTGATATTAGTTCATTTTTTTGGATATTTGTCTGGAACGTTTGGATATTTGTTTTCTCATTAACTGATATTAGTTTGTTGATATTAGTTTATTTGTCAATTTAATTACTTTTGTCATTATTCCCATGTGACCCTTATTTGTCATTATTCTAATGGGGCACTTTTGGTAACTATTCGTATGTGATCCGTTGTTTATTTAAGCATCTAGCATCACACACTTAGTCAACCATATTACACCAATTTACGGTTTAGCGATTAAGATTTACGGTTAAGGATTTAGTGTTTAGTGATTAGAGTTTAGAGTTTATGTGTAGCTGGTATTAGTCTGCGATGGTCATATATTAATCTGCGTAAGGTGGGTATTAGTATGTGATGGCCAGATATTAATATGTGTGCGGTGGGTATTAGTCTGCTACGGTCAGATAATAGTCTGGGTTGTTTATATATTTGTTTTGTGTGGATGTTTATCTACTTATTTGTATATGATTATATCCATTTAAGGTTTAGTGTTAGGGTTTAGACTTTAGAGTTTAGAATTAGGGTTTACGGTTTGGGTTTTGATTTAGGGTTTAGAAGACGATATTGTGGAAATTTTTATGAATACAATGTAGGGTGGTTCGATATTTGTTTGTGGAGATAAGATATTATTATGTGGTGGGAGGTTATTAGTTTGCGATGTGGGGATATTTGTATGTATTGTTGATAGATTATTGATTACACATGTTTTTACCCCTATTCTTGAGCCGTTTGAGATGTTGAGTCTCGTGTTTTAAGCCGATTTCACACTAGGTTGTGCGTTTATGTCATATTTCAGGGCTTAGCGTTGGCATCGAGGCGAAGAAACGAGTTTCAAGTCGAAAGGAGCACGTTTGGGGTGAAGTGTGCTGGAAGAGCAAATACCCGGCCATGTGCAGAAATACCCGGCCGGGTATTATTTGGAGATGACCGGGGATTTGACGCTTCGGGCGTCTTTGAGAAGCAGAAGGGGGCACGGGTAGGAAGTAGAAATCCCCGGTCGGGGATTCTTGGCCATGACCGGGGACTTTCCCCTGTCACCCGACGGTGCGTTTCGAACATACCCGGTCGCCACCCAAAATACCCGACCGGGTATTCAGGCCGGGGATCGCGACAGACAGCTTCTTAAGGGAAAAGAAGGCCAAAAGTCTAGGTTTTTTCGGAGTTTTAGAGAAAGAAAGCGATTCCTAGAGAGAGAGAGAGAGAGAGAGAGAGAGAGAGAGAGAGAGAGAGAGAGACAAACCAGAGTTCCCAAGTGCCCTAGCTTGGTCTTCATCACCATTGGAGCTCGGCTCACACTTGGAGAAGTGCCGATTGACGACCAGGAGCAGAAATCCATCCTTCACAGTATGATTTCTGCATCTGAGCTTGCTTTTGCTTCACTCTCCATGGAGTAACTTCCTCATTCATTGGGTATGGAGAACCCTAGATTTGTATGTTAGGTCTGATTGTATGAACCCAAGTACAGATTCTATGATTTGATTATATTCAATTGAGGTTTGATTTATTGAATGGCATGAATCATGATCAAATTCCTGTTGTTTCTGCTTTAACCTAGAAAGAGAATATTTGCCTAGGTTGATAGAGCACCCTTAATTGAAGGTAATGAATTGGCGACTTTAGTCGAGGAGCCAATTCACCATTCTGTACCAAATTTACTACGGTAGTGGAGGTTTGGTTCGTTAGGGCCTCAATCTGTTTACTCCGGTGGAGGTTAGTCGCCCGCTGGGGACTCAGATTGAGAGGGTCTGGAGACCTTTAGTCGAGACTTCAGACTGCTTAAGAACCTCCCGTAGTATAACTATCATTAAAACTGAACTTGGTGAATTGCAATCCGGCTTAACTGCAGTCTAGGGGGAACCATATCCGGGTGACCTCTCTCGACTTGAAAACAACCTTCTTTCTTGCTTTGCTTGTTTGAACATGCACTAAAGTTTCACCGCTAAATAATAAGAATTCACTGAGTAGTCATCACATCTAGGACCCGGGTTGACATTAAAACCCAAACCTGCTATACTACGCTTTAGGAAGTGGTTACACTTGGCCGTTTTCTAGAGTGATAGTAGGAGTGAGTCAAGTTTTTGGCGCAGTTGCCGGGGACGGCTAGGTTGTTGAAGAAACGTGAATTCTGTTAATTTAGCTTTTCGTTTTAGGATTGTTTGCTTTGTCACACTTGTGCCTTCACGGGTTTGCTTGCTTGACTGTGTGCAGGTAGTGCATGACCCGTAGCCAGTCGGGAGGTTTACTGCAGTTGGATCCGGAGCTTGAACGCACCTGTCGCCAACTTAGGAGACAACACCAAGCTAGACTGGCTACGGAGGAGCGCATAGACGGCCACTTGAGCAGCGATTCTGAGGAAGAGTACGAGATGGAAGGCGAACACAACCCACACCAGGGGAATCCTCTCCAGATTCCCCTGGTGAATCAGATCTTGGGGAACAACCCCATACCCCAGGCAGATGGGGTTCATCATCATCCACCACCGCCGGGTCCCACCTTGGAGTACTACTACACTCCACGGGTTGCTGATATCCGCCCTGTCATCCTCTATCCGCCCATTCTAGCGAACAACTTCGAGATCAAGCCATGCTGGATTCAACTCATTACATCATCTGTCCAGTTTCATGGCTTGAAGGATGAGGAGGCAAGGGTGCCCCAGTCCCGTTTCCTGCAGCTGACGAACGGGTTCAAGCTGAACGGTGTCCCTGATGATGCAATCCGCCTTCACCTCTTCCCCCATTCTCTGGCGGGGCATGCTAAGAGGTGGTTGGAGACCCAGCCCCCACTGTCCATCACTTCGTGGGACGATCTGGCCGACAAGTTCGTACACAGGTACTATCCGGCATCAAAGACCACAGAGATCCAGCGGGAGATCACTCACTTCTGCCAGGAGCCAGACGAGTCACTTCGTGATGCATGGGAGCGGTACATGGGATTTTTCTGGCAGTGTCCCCATTATGGCTTCAGTGATGCATTCACAGTGGGGAACTTCTACAGTGCTCTCTCTCCGGAAAGCTAGAGGGTGATTGAGTCTCTATGCATAGGAGGGGACATTCTTACTAAGACTCCACCCGAACTGAACCAGATGATCAGTACATTGGTTGCCAGAGATCATTCCTGGGGGCAGAGCAGCAGAGGCAGGAATTCCCGGGACCGTGGTGTGCATGCCATGGAGGCCAGGTCCGGGCTCGAGCAGCAGGTGGCTGAGTTAGTGCAGACATTGAAGCAACCCAACAACCTTATTCCGGGCAGAGGTTTGGCTACACCTCCAGTAGCTCAATGTCAGTGGTGTGAGAGCTCAAATCATCTGGTGGAAGACTTCCCGGCTATGCGGGAGTCCTTTACTCCCCAAGAGTAGTTGGACTTCATCGTTGCTCGGCGTCTTGACCCATACAGCAATACATACAATGAGGGGTGGCGCCAGCATCCCAACTTCGCTTGGAACAGCAACACCACTAAACCACCTGGTTTCCCAGCACTAGCGGGTGGTTTTCAGCAGAGGCAGCCTTTCCAGGCTAGACAGGGGCCAGTCCCTCAGCAGCAGCCTTAACAGCCGAGGCAGGGGCAACCATTTCAGCAGCCCCAGCGTCAGTATGCCGAGCCAGCAGCAGCTCCAGTTCCCGATAATCAGATGACCGAGCTGAAAAACATTCTAGCACCATTCATGACTACCAGCCAGGAGAATTTCAAGAGGATGGACCAGAACATAGCCTCACTGGAGGCAGGCCAGAGGAACCAGGGTGCCATTTTGCAAGATTTACAAAACCAGGTTGGTGACATAGCTCGCCAAATTAATACCCGGGCCCCGGGAACTCTACCTGCCACAACCATCCCCAATCCACGGGAGCCGCACCAGTAGCTGAATGCTATCACCAACAGGAGTGGCAAGTCCACATCGGCGGTTCATGCCCAAGCTAGTGAGGAAGAGCCACTGCTTGCTTCAACACTTCCAGCCGACGATGCAGAAGCAAGGGTGGAGAAGGAAGCCCCTGCTCCCAAGCCACAACCAGTGGTCAAGGAGCATGTACCCTAGCTTCCCTTCCCCACTCGACTACACAAAGATAAGCTGGAGACTGAGTTTATCAAGTTCATGGCAATATTGAAGCAGCTTAACGTCAGCATACCTTTCATGGAGGCACTGTCGAAGATGCCCAAGTACGCAAAGTTCATGAAGGATCTCCTCAACAACAAGAAGAAACTTGGGGATCTTTCGACAGTGATGATGAGCGAGGAGTGTTCTGCCATCTTGCAAAACAAGCTTCCCGAAAAGCGCAAAGACCCCGGGAGTTTCACTATCCCTCTTAATATTGGCAGCGTGCATGTAGGAAAGTCCTTGGTGGACCTAGGAACTAGTGTTTAAAAAGCTAGACCTAGGTGAACTTAGCCCTGCTAGGATGAGCATTCAGTTAGTTGATCTCTCTATTGTGCATCCTAGGGGTATCATCGAGGATCTGCTTGTTAAAGTAGGTGCATTCACGTATCCTGTTGATTTTGTTGTTCTGGATATAAATGAGGATGTGGATGTGCCTTTGATTTTGGGTAGACCATTTCTTGCCACCGCCAAGGCACTTATTGATGGGATGAATTCCAAAAATACACATGTTTTAAAAAAAGATTCTCAAAATACACACGTTATAAATTTTTTTTTCCAAAATACACATGTTTGGGCATCACCGTTGTTGTCAACCGCATTGAATGCATTCACCGCGGCAGACCAAAGCGGTGAATGCATCACCGCGGTTGACGGTCGCGGTGAATGCCCGACTTAACACTGAAACTTCAGACAAACGTAACTTTGCGCTCGGTTATCCGATTGTAGCGAATTTTTTTTTATTTCATATAACTTTTCAAGATCTTTCAATTTGAAAAGACTTCATCTCAGAAAAATGTCGTTTGTTACCCCCGAACGAGCAATTTTTCGATTTTGCCAAACTTTGGAAGTCCATAACATTTATCTCCTCAATCCGAACGTCATAAAGTTATTTTTACTGTGCATAACTTTTTAAGAACTACAACTTTGACTAGGAAATAATTTTTTTAAAAAGAAGTATTTTTGGGTATACGGGATTTTGTGAATAACTTTGCCTTTACTTTTCACAAATCCACATACTTTCCAAAATTATGGTTATAAACAAAGTTGTAGTACTTCAAAAGTTATGCAAAATCAAAAAAAAAGTTTCATGACATTCGGATTGTGGAGCTCAAAGTTATGATCTTCCAAAGTTTGTCAAAATCGAAAAATTGCTTGTTCGGGGTAGCAAATGATTTTTTTGGGGGGTGAAGTCTTGTTTCAGATTGAAAGATCTTGAAAATTTATGTGGAATCAAATAAAATTCGCTCCAATCGGATAACTGAGCGCAAAGTTATGTTTGTTTGAAGTTTCAGTGTTACGTCACGCATTCACCGCGGCCGTCAACCGCGGTGATGCATTCACCGCTTTGGTCTGCCGCGGTGAATGCATTCACTGCTGTTGACAACAGCGGTGATGCCCAAACATGTGTATTTTGGGAAATTCTTTTAAAACATGTGTATTTTGGAAAAAAAAATTAAAACATGTGTATTTTGGGATTTTTTCCCCTTATTGATGTGCATAGTGGTAAACTGATCTTCCGTGCTGGGAACGAACAGGCTACTTTTTCTGTGGCTGACCTTGATCATTGTGATATGCCTGCTGCCTCACCTATGCATGCTATTTCTCACCAGGTACACGAGCCTGTCGTGTACCCCCTATGCATCTCGTTTTGCAAGATCCCCCTCTCACGTCTGCGCCGCCACTCCTTTCAACCTCACCACCAAACAAAATGATCAAAGAGGAGTGGCGACCGAAGCAGCAGGTGGCTAAGCCTGCACGGAAGAAAGGTGGACCCCACTATGAGCTGGTTCCACCTCCTGCACCACGACCAGCCTGACCATCCGAGTACTCACTCGCCTGCATCTTGCCGGATGTCCAGGTCGAGCTGACCAATGCTGGTGGTCGCACCTGTCTGGTGCATGGCCACAATCTGAAGCTGTACCTCAAGAGCGATGTGGATCCGCTCTTGGAGGCACCTGTTCCTGCACCCCGCTGAGTATCCACCATGGGCGTCCAGCTAAAAGATGGTAAAGAAGCGCTTGTGGGGAGGCAAACCCACCACGGTTTGCATTTCTTTTTCCCTTTTTCTGTGTTTTTATGTAGTGTTGAGTCAGTTGCATATCTGTGTTGAAGTTCGATCGTGGTTCTGTCTCGGTTTGGTGTTTTCGTGCAGGGGAGGTTGAAAATTTGGGAGGATGAGAATTTTGGCCGGAAGGGTAAAATACCCGATCGTGAGCCAAAATACCAGACCGGGTATTTTTGGCTCGTGACCGGGACCCCTTCTGCCTTCCGGGGCGCCCAAAGGGCAAATCCCCGACCTTGAGCCAAAAATACCCGTTCGGGTATTTTTGGCTCAAGGCCGGGGATTTCCTTGCACTCGAAATGCGTCGTTTCCAAAACCCCCGGTCGTGGACTCGAAATACCCGACCGAGTATTTTTGAGGCCGATCGGGGATTTTTGCTATTTAAGCAAATCCCCGGTCAGTTTTCTCTCTCTACCCTCATTTTTTCCAAATTTTCCCTCTCCTCCTCCCACAAAACCACTGACTTCTCTCCTCTTTTGGCGACCGGCGGCCACCAGGGGACCTTCTGCCGCGACGGAGACCCGAGAGAGGCGAGTCCTCCTCCGGTCCTTCTGGTCCGTCGATGGCTTCTGGCCCGTCGATGGACTTCTTCACAGAGCAGTTCCAGCAGATGGGGCTCCAGTTCCAGCAGCTCGGCCTTCAGAACCAGCAGATCATGGACCATCAGGTCCAGTTCTACCAGCAGTATTCGGCCCACCAGGTCGAGTACCAGTCCAGGCTGACGGTTGTAGACGAGATCCTCGACCGGATGGAGGCCCAGATGGGAGTCACTGGTGCTCTCATCGAGCGGGAGCGGGATCGTGGCCGCCGGTTGATGGAGTACTCATAGCACATGCTCCAGTCTTGTCACCCACCGGAGGAGCACCACTGGACCACCCGGTGGGATCACTCACCACCACCACCGCATGATGGGGTCGACGATCTCATGGACCAGATCAACTTCACCGGGCTCGAGTAGGTTGTACTCGTGGCCCCGTTTTGTGTTGTTTTCATTTCTGTCAGAATGCAAACTGTCTTGTGTGTTGGTCTACTTTCTTTTTCTTTCTTTTGATTTTAGAGCTAGATAGGAAAAATCTTATACTTCAACATCCTCCATGACTAGTGGGCTGACCATTGGACCTAACGTACTGTGTTTGAGTTCTTTTGTTCCCTTTAGTTGTGCTTTGTCCCTGACTAGTCCCTTCTTCAGTCCGCTTCACTCAGACTAGTCCCTTTCCAGTCTCATGCAGTCTGTGCACACCGGTAACATCGTTCCCCTTATCCTTCCCTCTTCTCCATTGAGGGCAATGTCGATCTTAAGTGTGGGGTGGATGTTTCTCTTTTGACTGCATTAGATCTATTTGTGTGTTTGCAGCCTAGTCCACTGTCCAAATTTTTAAATTTGAGGGCTCCAAGTACGTGTTTCCTTGCAAATTGTCTGCTCAGTATGCTTTGAATTGACAGTATCTATAGTAATGTGCAACCTAGGGAGGTAGTGTATCACTATGGAGGATGTTGAAGTATAAGATTTTTCCTATCTAGCTCTCTGCTGTGCCAGTTGGTTTTGTGAATTAGTGGAGCTAAGACCGTTGAATTCATGTGATAATGGTGACTCTATTTGGATTGTGTTATGGACTCGTGTATCGAACAGGGTGCTCATGTGGAAAATGAAAAGTAGTTGGTCCTCCATGTAGAAATCATTACATCTTAAACATGGGGTAAGCCCAACGTGTGCGACACCGTTCATTGCACAAAAATCGGGTTTTGGAAGAGATTTTAGTGATCCTTAGTGGGGTACTCCTACAAGGTGAAGCTAAGTTGTCTCTAGTACAAGTAAAACTTCCACCCGTTGAACGGTTTTCCTACTTGAGGATGTGTTTTTAAGGGCACGGATAGAGCTTTCGACCCCCTTAATTTCATTGACCCTCCACACGAGTTGAGGAAAAGGAGTTAAAAGAATTACTCTGGAGAGCGCCAGATGTACAGAAATTTCTCTTGCTCGACTAATAAGGGTCGGCCGTGCAAAAGACTGCAGTTGGAACCCCCGCTAAGTGAATGAAAAAAATAGTAAAATAAAAGTGAAAATGGGGTTCCAACGGTGAAATGAAGTGAAAGATCACCCCGGTACAACGAGTCCTTGGTTGTGAATGGTATGAGTCCCTTTATCCATGAACTGATTGTCTTACTTTTACTTCTTCTCATGATCCTGGCTTGAGTCTAGTACTCGCATTGAGAGAGATAGGGAACGTCTCAAAAGACCAGTTGACCTCGTAAGCTGCTATATGATCTAGGAAATCCCCTACCGACGATCGGGATTGTTTGTTGCTATAGAGGGCTGGAGAGTTGCATTGGTTTGAGTTAGGTTTGCTTGGGGAAAAACAAACGGTTAAGTGTGGGGGATTTTGATAGACCATTGATTACTCATGTTTTTACCCCTATTCTTGAGCCGTTTGAGGTGTTGATTCTCGTGTTTTAAGCCGATTTCACGCTAGGTTGTGCGTTTATGTCATATTTCAAGGCTTAGCGTTGGCATCGAGGCGAAGAAACGAGTTTGGGGTCGAAAGGAGCAAGTTTGGGGTGAAGTGTGCTGGAGGAGCAAAATACCCGGCCATGAGCAGATTTACCCGGTCGGGTATTATTTGGAGATGACCGGGGATTTGACGCTTCGGGCGTCTTTGAGAAGCAGAAGGGGGCCCGGGCAGGAAGCAGAAATCCCTGGTCGGTGATTCTTGGCCATGACCGGGGATTTTCCCTGTCACCAGACGGTGCGTTTCGAACATACCCGGTCGCCACCCAAAATACCCGACCCGGTATTCAGGCCGGGGATCGCAACAGACAGCTTCTTAAGGGAAAAGAAGGCCAAAAGTCTAGGTTTTTTCGGAGTTTTAGAGAAAGAAAGCGATTCCTAGAGAGAAAGAGCGACGAACCAGAGTTCCCAAGTTCCCTATCTTGATCTTCATGACCATTGGAGCTCGGCTCACACTTGGATAAGTGCCAATTGACGACCAGGAGCAGAAACCCATCCTTCACAGCATGATTTCTGCATCTGAGCTTGCTTTTGCTTCTCTCTCCATGGAGTAACTTCCTCATTCATCTGGGTATGGAGAACCCTAGATTTTTATGTTAAGTCTGATTGTATGAACCCAAGTATAGATTCTATGATTTGATTATATTCAATTGAGGTTTGATTTATTGGATGGCATGAATCCTGGTCAAATTCCTGTTGTTTCTGCTTTAACGTAGAAAGAGAATATATGCCTAGGTTGATAGAGCACCCTTAATTGAAGGTAGTGAATTGGCGACTTTAGTCGAGGAGCCAATTCACTATTCTGTAACGAATTTACTTCGATAGTGGAGGTTTGGTTCGTTAGGGCCTCAATCTGTTTACTCCGGTGGAGGTTAGTCGCCCGCTGGGGACTCAGATTGAGAGGGTTTGGAGACCTTTAGTCGAGACTTCAGACTGCTTAAGAACCTCCCGCAGTATAACTATCATTAAAACTGAACTTGGTAAATTGCAATATGGCTTAACTGCAGTCTAGGGGGAACCATATCCATGTGACCTCTCTTGACTTGAAAACAACCTTCTTGCTTGCTCTGCTTGTTTGCTTGTTTGAACTTGCACTAAAGTTTCACCGCTAAATAATAAGAATTCACTAAGTAGTCATCACGTCTAGGACCCGAGTTGACATTAAAATCGAAACCCGCTATACTACGCTTTAGGAAGTGGTTACACTTGGCCATTTTCTAGAGTGATAGTAGGAGTGAGTCAATTGTGTAGTCAGATATTAGTCTGCGACAATGTAGTCAAAATCGCGCTTTAATACTTAAAAACTTACAATTTTACGTTTCTATGTCACTAAAAAGCTTCTACACAAAATCTCAGTTTTTATAACTATTGTAGTTAAAAAATTCGCTTTAAAACTTATGATTTTACGGTTCTAAATCACCAAAAAGTTTCTACGTAGAAACTCACTTTTGAATACATTGGACTTTGTGACAGTTAGATATAAGTCTGTGTGTGGTGGGTATTAGTCTATAATGGTGACAATATTAATTATGGTATCACCGAATATTAGTGTTAGACGGTGAGATATTAGTCTGGGTGGTGTGGACATTTTTATGGTGAACGGATATTAGTTTGCCACGTCGAATATTAGTCTGGGTTGGTTGGATGGTTGGATATTTGTTTTATGTGGTGTTTATATGTGTTTGTTTGTGTTGATATTTAGTTTAAACAAATTCATAATTAAATAAAGTCGTTTTTCCACAAACCGCGATACAACTAGTATTCAGTGTCATTCCAACTTTACAATCTCATAATCTAAAATCCGTAAAAGTACAACCACAAAAATGAAAAAGGAATAGTTCAAATGTTTTCTTGCTTGGCCAAATTTTCGATAATATTTTTTATCATTTTCCTCGGAGCCCTCCACGTTTCGATCATGCCACGACGAGCTGGGATGGTCCTTCTCCTAATCGCGGTCTCTTCACATAATAATATCGAGACAAAGCAAAAAAATATCCACAAATCACATAACTAATATGAGGCCAATCAATTACAAGTTTGGGATTTAGGTTTTAGGATTTGGGGTTTAGATTTTAAGGCTTAGGGTTAGAGGTTTAGATTTTAGGGTTTAGATTTTAGGGATTAATGGTATGGGGTTTAGGAGTCGAAAGAAGGGTGTCTATGTGGACGTGTATGATAAGTGATATTTATGTATGTTTGTTTGTGTGGATATTTGTCTGTGTAGTCGGATATTAGTCCACCACGTCTGTGTGTGGTGGATATTAGTGTGTTATGGTGAGAATATTATTTTTGGGGTGTGGATAATTGTTATGGTGAACGGATATTAGTTTGCGACGTTCGGATATTGGTCCGTGTGGTTTGAATATTTGTTTTGTATGAATGGATATTAGTATGTGATTGTTAGACATTAGTTTGTGTTGTTTGGATATTTGTTTCGTGTGGATATTTATCAACTTAATTTGTATCATTGTTGAAATGAGCTAGTATTTAGCATCCCCAAATCACAAAATGTATTCCAGAACAAAACACTAGTTTTCAAGTATGCAAAACTATTGTCAACACTCAATACAACTAGTATTTAAAGCCATTAAGCATGACAATTATAACATTCCAAATAGAGCAATATCGAAGAAATCATTTAACAAATATCTTGACCTCACAGAACAAATATCAGGGAACTAATATCTATACATGGCAAAGTAATATCCCGATTGAGGAAAAAAATATCAATGCATTTCATAATTAATATCTAAACAACCAATTGCATACAAGAATCCACATCATCAACAAATTAAATTACAAATACCCCAAGTCTAATCCCAACTACATGGGCATTGTAGTGCTAGAGTAAGAGATTATCTGCAATGAGTGCTCCTTGTCTTCCATTATGCAAAATCCCTGAAGCACATACAAATATCGGATAAACATAGAAAAATATCCAATAAAGAGCAGACAAATATCCAAACATGGAGGACAAATATCCAGGAATAATATTTTTAATATCTGAAAACACAGAACTAACATCATAGAAGTAATATCCAGATACAAACAAATAAGTATTCAGACATAATATAACAGATATCTCAACCGCACAAAACTAATATAAGTGAACTAACATCCATATAGGGAAGAGAAATATCAAGACAGAGTAAACAAATATCCAGACATAAAGTAACTAATATCCGAACGATCAATTACAGAACAATATCCACATCATCAAAAAGTAGTATCCCAAGCATGATAATTGTTATCCACTATGAAAGGAACTAATATTCCAGATCTACAAATCGAATCCCAGATCTCAGCCACACAACTATCCAAGTAATTGAAAACTGATATCCTGCCTGAACAGAACTAATATCGAAATTCACACAAAACATATCCACAAAATCCAGAAAACAAAGCAACCCAGATCCAGTCAAAATCCACAAAAGAAAGCAACCCAGATCCAGTCAAATCTAAGAGGTCATTTGCTTGTAGGATTTTGATGAGAGATTTTGCCTCAAAATCTGTTGGATTATGGTCCAAATCCATGTTTGTTGATAAAAATGAAGTTGGCCTAAATCCGTGGAGCCCACAAATGTGAGATTTTCTTTTGCTCAAAATCCGTGGACCCCACGGATTATAAAATCCCACCTCATGAGGTAAGATTTTGAGAAGTGTCAAAATCCGTGGACCCCACTAACTCTGAATGACCAAAGTATCCTTAACAAAAAAAAGAAAACTACTTTATGATGATAGGACTAAGGATAAAAAGGTAAACTCATCATTTAACCCATAAATCCAAGATAGTAAAGTCCATTCTGAAATCCAACAAGCAAACATGCAATTTTTAAAATCCAACACAAATCCAACATAGCAAAATCCAACATAATCCTTCAATTCCAAAATCCAAGGTTTTACTAAAATCCTTCCTTTTTCAAAATCCCACAAGCAAACGACCTCTAAGTTACTAGAAAACAAATCCATCAAACTCATCCAAAAAACGTAGGAAAAGAAAAACACAGATCTAGTCGAAGCCGTGCAGCACTAACTCAATCTACTCAAACGAACATGAGTATCCATGAACAAAGGGGGGAAAAAACTCGGCTACCTCATTCAACGAAGTAGTTCTTTCTTCAACGACCGTCGTCAACCAACCCCTTCGTCGCTGCCGCTTCGTCTGCACCGTCGCCGCCGTCAAACCAACCTGGCCACCGTCGTCGGGAGAGGAAAGGGAAAGGGAGAGGAGAGGGAGTAGAAATGATTGATTTTTGGAGAGAGAGAGAGAGAGGGGGGGGGGGGAAACGTGTATGGTGGAGAAAGATCAGAGAGGGGAGGGTTTTGAGTAAAAAAAAAAGTGGTGTTTTTTGAATTTGGGGGTCTGGCGGCCCCATTTTCTTTTCCTGTAGGCTTGGGCCAGCTGATGGACTCGGCTCCCTCACATGCTGGCGCCAATCTTCCTCCACCGATGGATCGTGGCTTGTTGACGTGACTGCCCATCCGACCCTATCAGTATCTCCTAACAAAAAACTCTGTTAGGAGTATAATTAAGTTGTCTACATGGACCTTTTAAGGTCTGGCTTCATTCATTTTCATTGTATATGCAGTTTCCTGAAATCTCCTCGTTAAATTTATTAGTTAATCACATGCCTGATGTCATGATGATACAAACCTTTATGCTCTATTCGCATTTAGAGAATAGTTTATGATCTAGATGTTGCCAAATCAAGTGTTTGTATGAATTTATATTGGTAGAATGCATGTCTTTTTGTTGTTGCCATTGTTTAAATTAACTATCTTACGTCGCAGAATTATGGCTCTTCACTGTTCCCAGGAAGAGTGCCGGTGATGAGGAAAGAATGGTGCTCTTGTATTTTAACCGGGTAAGTTCACCATCCCTCTTGTGTTCGACGTTATTAATACCATTTAGGTGGTTGGGGTTGTACAGAGTTTCTACATCTTCTTGCATATTGGTTGGCCTACTTCTTTGCCAACAAGCGAGAAAGGCACGTTCGTGAAAAATGTTCTATAAGAGAAGGTATTCTTGCTAGCTGTAATACTATGGTGCTGAGATCTTTTTCTCTTGGTTGCATGTTCATCAAATGTTTCTTAACTCCCCGAGATTTCTGGATGTGAGTGACTATAATAGTTTATTAATTTTTCAGTATGTGTGGTTGTTGGCAGAAAAAAAGCACCGGATGAGTTTATGAAGGAACTAAGTTCACGATTGAGAATTGGGATAGATTGAGAAGAGAATTTAGGGTTAGGGATTAGAATTTAGAAGGAATTTGGGGAAGAACGTGAGAAGAATTGAGGGAAGTAAAGAGAAAGGGATTTAGGGATTTAATGTACTTTCTGCTTCATCCTCAAAATAAGACGGTTATCCCTTAAATAGGAGTTACAAAATAACCAAACAATCAACCAAACAACTAACCGAACCCTTCCACTTACATACTAGGGTCGAGCCCTCCCCATCTAGGAACACGGTCACGTGTTTCCTACAATCTCCCCCTCTAGAGACTGACCTTGCCCTCAAGGTCGAACACTGGGTAGTTCTGTCGAATCGTCTCCGTATCCTCCCATGTAGCTTCCTCGGGTCCCAAATGCTGCCAGCGGATTAAGCTTTGCTCGACCAGTCTATTCCCCTGTCTCTCCCATCGCGTCTCCATTACCTCTTCCGGCTCGAACTCCAGGCTCCCATCCTCGTCAACCTATGGTACTGGTGGGTGTTCCGGCCGCGAACTTCCTCGGTACCTGCGGAGCAAGGAAACATGGAAGGTCGGGTGGATACGAGCAGTAGTTGAAAGTTCTAGGCGATATGCCACACATCCCACTAGTTCCAGCACCTGGTAAGGTCCAAAGTAGCGAGTCGCCAGCTTCTGGTAGGCTCGTCTGAACACAGACGACTGGCAATATGGGTGAAGGCGGAGCAGAACCCAATCGCCCACAGCAAACTCCTCCTCCCGCCGGCCCGAATCGACTTCCTCCTTCGTGCGGTTGCTGGCAGCCGCACAGTTGGCCTTCAACTACTCCAGAACCTCGTCTCTTACGGCGAGCCAGCGATCGACGGCGTCCACCGAGCTCGAGCCTGACTGGTAACGCACAAGGGTCGGCGGTGCACACCCGTACAGAGCCTCAAACGGGGTCATCTGAATGGAGCGATTATAAGTGGTGGTGTACCATAACTCCTCCCAAGGAAGCATTGCCAACCAACTCCGCGGCTGCTGATGAGCAAAGCACCTCAAGTACTGCTCCAGATGTTTGTTGACGACCTCAGTCTGTCCGTCTAACTGCGGGTGATATCCTGAACTCATCCTCAATTCAGTCTGGGCGAGGGCGAACACCTCCTTCCACAATTTCCCCAGAAATAGAGCATCCCAGTCACTGAAAATGGAGCGTGGAAACCCATGGTGGTGGATTACTCCCTGCACGAACTGCTCGGATACGGTCCTGGCCGTGTACGGATGCGAGAGCGCCATGAAGTGTGCGTACTTCATCAACCTGTCCACCACTACCAACAGAACTGTCTTGCCCCCTGAGGGTGGTAACCTCACAATGATGTCCATACTGATGTCCTCCCACACCCTTTTCGATACCGGCGATGGCTGCAATAAACCAGCAGATCGCAGAAATAAGGCCTTAACACGCTAGCAGGTGTCACAGGAGGCGACATAGGCTTTCACCTCTGGATCCATCTGCGACCAATAAAACTGGGCCTTGATCTTCCTCAATGTCCGCTCGTGCCCCGAATGGCCTCCAACCGGTCAATCATGAAACTCCCTCATCACAGTAGTCGTCAAAGTAGGCTGGGCTGGTAGCACCACTCGACCACACAAAAATACAAGGCCATGGCGCAGGGTATACTCGCCTGGGTCCTGGCTCATGGCGCGGTTCTTGCACTCCAACAAGTAAGGACTGGTCTCCAACGCCCGACGAACCTCATCCCAAAAGCACACCACTGGTCTGGTTACTGCTGCGAGCACCGGTCCATTATCCAACCTCGATAAAGCATTTGTCGCGTTGTTTGTCGGCCCGGGTTTGTAGTAGAGCTCGTAGTCATAGCCGAGGAGCTTCACTCCCCATTTGTGTTTATCCGAGGTGGAGACTTTCTGATTGATCAAATGCCGGAGACTGATGATCCGTGTAGATATGAAACTTATGCCCCAGCAGATATGGCCTCCATGTCTGTACGACATTTGTAATTGCCAGCATCTCTTTTTGGTACATCGATCAGGCTTCCTTGGACGAGGCTAGGGTACAACTCATGAATGAAATGGGATGTCCGCCTTGGGACAGCACAGCCCTGATCCCCCTCCCAGACGCGTCGGTCTTGATAATGAACGGTTTTGAGAAGTCTGGAAGTGCTAATGTCGGGGTCGTCGTCATGGCCACCTTCAAAGCACGGAAGGCCTCATCGGTTTGTGGGTTCCAACCAAACCCTCCCTTCTTCAGTAGCTCCGTCAGGGGGCCGTGTTATAGAGTTGTATCCCTGCACAAACTTCCAGTAATAGCGCGTCAAACCCAGAAACCCTCTCAACTCCGTCACCGTCTTCGGAATCGGCCAATCTACCATTGCTTGTATCTTCCCGGGGTCAACTTGAACTCCTTCCCCAGTTATGACATGTCCCAAATAGTCAACCTTCTGCACTCCAAAGGCACACTTCGATGATTTAACAAAGAACTAGTTATCCTGCAAAATCTCAAACACCATTCGCAATCGCCGCAAATGCTCCTCCCAAGAAGAGCTATAAACCAAAATATCATCGAAGAAAATCAGCACTCCCTTGCGCAGAAGTGGTCTGAAAATGTCATTCATAGCTGCCTGAAGGGTTGACGAGGCGTTGCAAAGGCCGAAGGGCATAACCAGGTACTCGTAATGCCCGTTGTGCGTTCTAAAAGTCGTCTTGTGGATATCCTGCTCATGCATCCTGATCTAGTGATATCCCGCCCTCAGACCCAACTTAGTGAAATACCGGGCACTCTGCGATTCATCAAGCATATCATCGACCGTGGGAATCGGAAACCTATCCTTGATGGTGGCCTCGTTCAGTACCCTGTAGTCCGTGCAGAACCTCCACGTTCCGCCCTTCTTCTTAACCAATAATACTGGTGAAGAGAAGGGGCTCGAACTCGCCCAGATCAACCCAGAGAGCAACATCTCCTCCACCTGCCGCTCTATATCCTCCTTCTGGAAGTGCGCATACCGGTAGGATCTCACGTTGACTGCATCGATTCCCTCTTTCAATTGGATCCGGTGGTCCACCTGTCGGCTTGGTGGCAGCCATTGCGGGGTCGCAAATAGCCCCGAATAATGCTCCAAGAGGGCCCGCATGTCCGGCGCCACCTCCTGATTCTCGGCACTCTCCAGCGGCCAGCACAATACCGCCATATCCACATCCACTACCTCAAGCAACTGTAGCTCTTCCCAACTGACAGGACTCGCGGCCGTAGTGAGCCCTTACAATTCCCAATCCTTGTCCTGCCACTTGAATCGCATCACCATCTTCACCCAATCACTAGTAACCGGTCCCAGACTTCGCATCCAGGGCACTCCCAGGATCACATTAAACCCCTGCAAAGGAAGCATATACAAATCAGTCTCTACCTTGAGCTCTTGTATTCGCAGGGTGGCTGCCCGAAAAACCCGGTCACACCACAGGGACACGTCATTCGCAGTTTTGACCGAGAAGCACTCGATCGTCTCCGACTTTCTCTCCAACCTTGCAGCCAGCTCCTCTCCCACGAAATTGAGAGACGCGCCACTGTCCACCAATGTAATTGCAGCCTGTCCCGCCAAGGTCGCTTGAAACCCCATCGTCGCTGGACCTCCCATCCCGGCCAAGACCTCGTCGGCCGGATGAGCCACCCTCGTCTCCCCTTCTTCCGCGTCGGCGAGCTGCTGCTCCTCGCTGCCGGCGGTCTGGATCGCAGCGATCGGCGGCGCGAAGCTCCTGCCGTCGTTGTGGTGTGGCCGCGCCTCGGACCTCCGTCGCACGCTCGACTTGCCGCAGCGCCTGCCGAAGCTGCTCTTCGAGCTGAGCCATCTGGTCCCCATGTGAGAGTTGCGGTGAACTCATGATCGACGAGGCTCTGATACCACTGAAGGAACTAAGTTCATAATTGAGAATTGGGTTAGATTGAGAAGAGAATTTAGGGTTAGGGATTGGAATTTAGAAGGGATTTGGGGAAGAACGTGAGAAGAATTGAGGGAAGTAGAGAGATAGGGATTTAGTAAGTTAATGTACTTTCTGCTTCATCCTCAAAATAAGACGGTTCTCCCTTAAATAGAGTTACAAAATAACCGAACAATCAACCGAACCCCTCCCACTTACATACTAGGGCAGAGCCCTCTCCCCTCTAGGAACACGGTCATGTGTTTCCTACAGTTTGTGGCATCTGAAGGTTCACCTCTACGACCTGGAGTTGAGGAGTGAGTCATGTCGTCTCATAAATGAACCTTGAAAACGTTATGAAGGTCCTACCCTCGTAGATTCCTCACTTGGTTGTGTCCCATAATCTTCCACTGAAAATTGGTTGGTTTTTGCTTCTCATCATCAGCTTCCGCTGAGAAACAGAGGGTTGCTGAAGAAGTTGCATCGATGTTGAAGTTAAAAGTAGAGCTTGGTAGTAGTTCATCTGAGAGGTTGGTAAAACTCTTGCACCAAGTACATTGGTTATAATACCTCGTTTTACCCTGAGTGGCATTCTAGTTTTACATGATGTGTCGGGTATCGTGCAGCATAGATAAGGTTGTAGTTGTACTGCGTGCAGCGGCAGAGGTTGCTTGTCAGCGTGTCCAAGATTGTGTTCTATTCTGGTAAGCGGAAGCCAATCTGGAGTTGCCGCAGCTAAGCGAATTGGAATGCTGAGTGTTGTTTTACGAAACAGGTATGCATAGTCTTGGTAGTGTTTGTTGCCTTATTGAATATGCATGACTTATGAACCAATCTGTCATTCATGTCTTTTTTTCCCGCCAAAAGATCACTTGTATACTGAGAAAACAGTCAGATACAAAGAGTCACATAGCTTAAAACAGCCAAGAAACAAAATTGAACCCCACTAAGGAGGGAGGCAACGAAAGGGCTTTTCTTGCCACCAAGTGGGCAACCCTGTTACAATTCCGACCAACAAAAATAACCTTAAACTCCTGGAATAAGCCTCGCAAACTTCTTGTCTCCTCCAAAAGCATACGCCCAACGACGTCGGCTACCTCACCATCCCAGATCTTCCTCAAAATCACTTGACCGTCGCCTGCAAAAGTCATCGAATGCAACCCACACGCCAAACACCATCGAACAACATACATGAGTGGTTGGGAGGATTGTGACATAGCTACTGGTGGGCAACAATTAGGTCTAAATCAGACCAAATCAAAACGATATTTTGATCGAATCTGATTGGAGTGAACAAAATTCTATTTGATTTCTATTTTCAAATTCAAGACCATTTTATTTTTATTTTTGTCATATAGCATCTTAAAAGATAAGAAAAAAGCATATTGGATCAGGTTGAATGCTCTTTTGATCCGACTTTGGTTCTCCCTTTTTCTATATTTTTTATCTGGATACCAATTTGGTTTAATTTTATGTTGTACCGGATCATGCTCGTCCCAGAACATAGCCATCTTTCCTATATTTCAGGATCAAGCATTTAGTTAGAAAACTAAAGTGGTGGTATGTGGAATGGTACAATTGAATTCCAAGTTTTTAACAACAATGGAAACTTCCAATTCACAACTAGACATGAGTTTCAAGTATTTAGGAAGACGTGATAGACCAACTATCATGTTTTGCATGGTTGGTGGTGTCATAAAAATTGTTTGATTTTACAGATTTTAAGTTTTAATTGTTGAAATTACCCGATTTTATGTAACAATCTGTAGCATAAGATTCTGGGTAGAGTCATGATTTTAGGTAAATCTTAACTGGCTGTAAATATGGCTTAAGAGTCAAAACAATAGCTGTTGCTGCTGGGTTCGTCAGGATTGATATAAATTTACTGGAGCATCGAACATGGTGCATGTCATTTTCGAGCAGCTCTGCTAGTTTGTGCCAAGGAAGAGGACATGAAAAGTTAACAACCAGTGTTGATTTCTCACATGCTTCCTGTCCAATTGTAAAACAACATATCTTGTCAATTGTACTCGATCTATTTCTGTCAATTGTAAAACAACCATTTGGAGGAGCAGATTTGACCGTGACAAAACTACTAAAGAAGCGATGGTCTGGTTCTCAAAATCTGCAGATGCAGTTTACACATCCTTGTACATAATCGGAGCGTATACTCGGTTGTAATATCATTTCACTACCGGAAGCATACTTTGCATCATGTCGCAAGGTTGCCAGCCAAGGTACTGTGAAGCACACCTGCATTGCTGACTCGCTGCACTATCTTCATGAATGCCACACTCAATTTTGTATATGCTTGATTGGCTTCGATCATTTCAAACAGTAACAGAACACTAGACTAAGATCTGAATGGCATGACAACTTTTTTTCTTGAGGTATAAACTGAATCATATAATCTGTTCCAAACTTCCAATCAAAACTTGAATGTGTAAAGTTCTCATACCAAAACAAAACAAACAAACAAAAAAGTGGAAACTTCTTTCCTTTTTCAGCGATGCTCAGAACGAACAATACTCAAATTGTCATACAAAAGTTTGGAGATCACGGTTCCAGACTCAGCAAACACACACCAAAGATATTCCTAACTTATTCGTTCTGAGATTACAGACATTCCGGGAATCCTAAATGTATCTGGTGATGCGCGCTTGACTTGTCTGCCCACTCAAAAAATGAAGCAAACATAGTAGTAACTGCAGTGAAACATCAGGATTGCTCTACCTCACCCTTGGAACTCCGTCTGTGCATCTGGCTTGGGCTCGAGTACTCCATCCCACTATCAGAGTACGAGACATTGGCTGAGGATACAGAAGAGTCTGAAATCACAGTGGATGTTGGATTCGAACTGGAACTTTCATGCTTGAAACTATGTGAATCTACTGTATATGGTTTT